TGAGTGACCAAGAACAACACAAGGTGGATGGAGACAGTGCTCTTCTGCTAAAACAGGTTGGGTTACACCGGCTGGCCGAGGAATCCAAAACGGATGACAATCCGAGGGTGGGATTCTTTTTGGAGTCGCCGGAAGACCCTGCCGTGTGGGCAAATGAAGCGAATTCTCCAACCTTTTGGGTATGGCCGGAAGTCACTCAACTCCTAGAACAACCAGACATGCGGTTGATATCGTTTGATCAGGGTCGGTACGGACATGAGAGGGTGAAACCAACCTCTTGCTTGTCCAATCTTCCGCTTTTGGAGGATCTGGATCAAGCGCGCTGTGAAAGACCGCAGGGAAAGGTCTTGCATCCAGAAATTCCAGAGAGGGTCAAACAGACCGATGACTGGTCTGCATGGGCCCCAGGACTCAAACACGCCCTGAGGGTGTCTCTGAACCTGTTGATCCACCAATGTGGATTAGCGGACAACCAGTTGAAAAAGGCTTTGAGCCGTCAAGAATGGAGGACTCACATCCTTCAAGGCCATCGACCGTACAGGCGCGACTGTCGTGCTTGTGTGCTAGATATGGCGGCAGGACCACCCCATCGCCGGCGAATGTATTCTGGAACCTCGGCATGGTCACTTGGTGTAGATGTGGTTCTGTTTGGGGAAACAAAAGATTCCATTTCTGGGGATCAGGTCAAATATGCGGTGGTAGCCACCGCCTTAGTCCCGGTATTCGATGAGGATCACCAACCTCCGCTCCAAGAGCCGCCCACGGAAGTGGTGGAAGCGCCAGATTGGGGGGAGGGTTTGGAGGAATCTGAGTTCCCATTGGAGGGAGAAGAAGAATCTGGGTCACCAGAGCTCGGCGACGAAGTTGCCAAAGCGTCCCACGATCCAGCCAATGCTCCGGGGGCTGACCCTGAAATTGGGGGGGAGGCATCCCCTGAGAAGTCAGGTGACTGGGTTGATGAGGAGATCAGCAAGTGCAGCCGACCTCTGAAACTCAAACATGTGACCATGGTAGAACCGGTTCAGTCGCGATCTACCACCGTAGTGCTCAACGCGCTATCACAATTGGTGGTTCGTATGAAGTCATATGGCATCAATGTGAATCGTCTCCACTCCGATCGGGCCAAAGAACTGATTGGTAGGCAAACAGCTGTCTGGTGTGCAAAAAATGGTCTCAGACATACCTTTGGTGGTGGCGATGACCCCGCCAATAATGGTCATGTCGAAGCGGAAATCAACCAACTGAAACGCAGAACCAGGCTTTACCTGCGGAATGCTGGGTTTACAAACGATGAGTGGCCCACCGCTCTCCGGTACTCGGCCGAAGAGAGAATGAGGGTCCAATTGAGTGCCCTGGGTGTCACCATGATGCCCATGCTTCCGTATGGTGCTTCTGTGGTTGTGAAAAGGAAACGATGGCATTCCCCTGGAGTACTTGCTCCTCCGTATGTCAATGCCACGCTTCTCACTGCTAGCCCCAATATGAGTCAAGGTTGGGTCGTGCGGTCGGAAGCGGGGCAGGTGCTCCATGTAAGAGAGGCCATTCTGCCTGCATCCCTGGGAGAGCAGGTTGCCATGGAATTGCGGGAAGAATCGGCTGCTTTGCCGCAACTGGAAGAAAGAGATGACAATGGAGCGGTAGCGGAACCCTCACGACGAAGGCTCGTGGGCAAACAGCCGCCGTCCAACCGGTCAGGGATCGCTTTGCCAGACCGCGAAGCTTATGGTCCTGTTCAACAGGTTGTTGTAGACTCAACCGTCAACAGGGATGACTTTGAACAAACGGGGGAGGCACCAGCGCAATTAGGCTTTCTACCAGCCGAGTTGCCAGCGGATGCGCCTTACTCTCCTAGTTTGGGCCCTGAAGACACTGCAGACCTCGAGCTCCCGGAGTTTGCCTCTGGGGGGAGGGTCTCGGCACTCGAGCTTCCGGAGGTTGCCTCCGGGGGGGAGTCTCTTTCGGCGCTGAATGTGCCTGACTTGGAAAAAATTATAGTGAGAAAAATCCGCAAGGAACAAGCGGAAGGGGTTCTGTTGGGAAGCCACAATCGGCTTCTGATGGGCTTGAGTGAAGCATTGAGACGGGTCCCAACGAGTGAACAGGAGGGACTGGAATACGGAAAACAGCTCCGTTACATGCTTCAAGATCGCCTGGAGCTGGAAGAAATGCTCCAAGTATTGTCAAAACTGCAAAAGGCGGACATGATTCGACTGTGCAGACTGAGAACCGAGGGGATCCCGAAGAATGGTGAAGGGGATCAGGAAGAAGTTCTTCAGTCCACCACAGTGGCACTGGAAGAAGTCAGAAGGGATTTGGCCGCTTGGACTCCTGCAATGCAGGGGGAATACAATAGCCTTGTGAAGGAGACTCAAGCCATCGAGCCGGTGTCGGTTTGCGACCTGGACGATGAGCAGGTTGAGTACGTCCCAGGAAAACTGGTGTGCGTACGCAAGGCGGGGAAAAATGGTGGACGGAAAAAGTGCAGAGCAGTGATCTGTGGAAACCTGCTGGACAGTGCCTGGGATCCAGCGCCCAGTGGAGCCTACGCTTCAGGGGCTGATGGAACAATGATCCGAGCTGTGATCAACCATGGAGTCCAACGAAACTGGGGGGCATCTGTCACAGATATACGCACAGCATTTCTGCTCGCGCCGCGTCCGAAGCCTGAAGGTGGACGAGAGGTCATAGTCGTACCGCCAAAGGTGATGATACAAGCGGGAGTAATCCCGGCAACCGAAAGGTGGAGAGTGCATAAAGCGCTTTACGGATTCACTTCGAGCCCGGCGCATTGGTCAGCGCACAGAGATCGAACGATGAAAACCTTTCAATGGCTGGAAGGTGAATGGATGTTTTACCTTCGCCCGACGGAGGAAGCAAATCTCTGGAAGATTTGGAAGGTTAAGGCCGCGGAAGAAGGCCGTGAAGAGGCAACTGAGCCGGAATGCGTGGGACACATCATTGTCTATGTGGACGATCTAATGGTGTGGGCTGAACGGTCAGTGCGACTTGGTTTCCTGAACAGGGTCGAGCAGGAGTGGAAAATTTCTGCTCCGGAACATGTGGGTGACCAGAAATGGGTCCGGTTTTGCGGTTTCGAGCTGAAGTGGGCGGATGAAAATCGCCTCCAGGTAGCACAGCCTTCTTACACCAGAGATCTCCTGCAGAGACATGGAGTAAAAAACAAAAAGGCCGTGCCAATGTCCAAAATAGAGGTGCCAGAGGCCTTGGAGGAAACCGTGACTGCGGAGGAAATCAAGGCTGCTCAGGCACTGACAGGGGAACTACTCTGGCTTGCTACACGGAGCCGACCAGATCTAAGCTTTGCCGTGGCGCAGATGGGACGTCAGGTATCCAAGCGACCGCGCTGGGCGGTTCAGGTGGGTCAAGGAATCTTAGAGTACTTGGCTGGAACTCCTGACTTGGGATTGATGTACGAAGGAAGGCAGGGCGACAGGGGGCCGGAAGGCAACTTGCCGATCCCTAGGCACGAAAAACTGATAGAATCCTTCAGTGACATCAGTTTTGCACCACAAGGAGAAAGGAGTCTGCAGGGGATTCTCACCTGTGTGGGAGGGGCACCGCTCTTGTGGGAAGCAACGAGACAAGCTTTTGCCACGTTGTCCACAGCTGAGAGTGAGCTGGTCGGGTACGTGGAAGCTATGGTGATGGTTCAGTCGGTAGAGGCTTTGCTGCAAGTGATATATGGTTCACAGCAGTTTGAAAAAGTATTATATGGTGACAACACGTCTGCCATATCAATACTACAGCAGCCCGACGGGCCCTGGAGAACCAGACATTTGAGACTTCGGTCCAACTGTCTCAAGGAAAAACTCCGCTCCGAAAAAGGAGACTGGAAGATCCGACACCTCAAGGGGACGGAACTCATAGCGGACTACTTAACCAAACCTATAGTAGCTAAAGGGGCTTGGGAGAGGTTTTGGAAATTTTTGGGTACCCACAAATCCCGATGTGACCTGGTGACTGAGGATGGACCACTAAGGAACACTGAGGTCGGTGACCGAGAGCCTGAGAACCAAGACTTCTTGCCTGATGTGGTCGCTGGTGCCGAGTTGGAATGGCGCGAGACGGAGACCGCTGACGAGCTCAGGGTGAAGGCCGCTACGGTAGTTTCTTCCTTGAAAAAATGGGTCAATGTGCCCATCGTAGGTGAGGTGACCGAAAAGGTCAAGGCTTTTGTAGCTGTGGTTTTCACTTTGGTGGTGATGTCATTGGTTGTACGGCTGAAGAGATTGGAGAATCCGGACTGGCCAGGGTTAAATCAACAGTCTTTAGACGACCTTTCTTCAATCTTGGAAGCTCTAGGTACCTTGGATGAGATGATCAACGAGGAAAAACAAGCAAGAGCCATTGGCCGACAAGATTTTCAAGAGGTCCGGGAAAATGAACCGACCCTAAGGAAGGTAGAAGTTGTTCCGAGGGAAAATGAACCCGGTTCAACGCAAGGGCTGACCCCCGAAAACCCCGAAGGAACCAAGGTTTTGGGAAGGGAAACCCCTAGGAGTTTTGGTTTGGGAATCCAAAAAGGTTTGGGGGATAGTAAACCCAGTTTTGACGCTTTTGGGAGTCGCGTGGCTAGTACTGAGAGTGGCGGTGCAGCAGAACTCTGTTCTGAACCCCTTCTTTTCGTTGTTTCGGGTTCTAACCACTGCCCTGAGGGCTGCCCCGGGTCGTTCAGAGCTTGCGCATTGCGTTTGTGCGACGCCATGGCAAGCACGACTGGTGATGGAGCTGGAGGAGATGAACCTGACGAAGATCGGCCGGACAAGTCCTGGGTAAAGGGCGACTATGAGCCGGAGCCTTCGAAGAAGAAAAAAAAGAAGAAGAAGAAGGGCAAAGGGCACCGACATGAAGGTGAAGGGGAAACTGCGGAGGATCAGTTGGAGTCCTTCAAGAGAGCCAAAAAGGAGGAGCCAATCCCCGTCGCAGTGCCTGCTGAGACCCGTTCCGAACCTTCAGCAGACACCGAAGATGACTGGGGAAAGTGGAGAGGAAATAGAGGGGACCGAGAGCCAACTGAAGCGCCTGAAGCTCCGGAAGCTGCTCCAGGAACGCCAGTGGTGATCTTGGGAGAAGCGGTGCCTACCACACCACCGCTATACCCCTTGGTTGATGCTGCTAGACATGGTAGCTTCAGGCCCCCGGAACCAAAGAATCCGCCGAGGACTTCTTCAACGGCGGGCTCTACGGCAACAGCTGCTGGGCCGACAACAGATGTTGGACCAACTACGGATGCTGGGCCGACAACAGATGTTGGACCGACTACGGATGCTGGGCCGACAACAGATGTTGGACCGACTACGGACGCTGGGCCGACAACAGATGACGGACCTTCGAGCTCCAGAAGCTCGATGAACCTTCCTGGGCATTTGGTGTCCTACTCAGCGCGAGGTTTTGGCAGAAGGACCGTGGAATGGGGGTACTACACTCCTGAAGGTGAGCCAATGGTGATTGTGCCAGCTTCACCTGATCGGTCCGAAGAGCACGAAGAGTGGACAGGGGATTAGGAACAAAAGAGAAGATCGATCCGACAAGGATCGTGAGAAAAAGGGGAAGAAAAGGAAAAAGAAAAAAGAGGAGGAGATCGAGAGGTTGCCGGTCATCGAAAGGGGACCGCGTGATCCACCACCAGATCCTCCTGCACCTGCCTTGAAGTTGGCCGCGCTGAGGATGCCGTGCAGCACTGGCCGCGACGAAGGTCATGGCCGACGTCAGCAGGGAGAAGAAGGCCAAGCCGATGAAGAGGAACCCTGGGAACGTGCTGAGTTCCAACAGCCGCCCTCGGGAAAGAAGGATGGATGGACGCCACAGCTAAGGGGCTGGGTGGTGAGAAAACATGGAACCATGCGAGAGCGAAGGTTCCACCCGCTGCACCGTGGTGTTCCGTTCGACCCCAACGGCTTGGAAGCGCTGCGGGTGACCGTAGCCTTTGGACAGGACGGTCGAAGAACTGTCCACCGAGATCGATGGTCGGATGGACCTAGGGATCTCTTTCCCACCAAGGAGTCTTGGAGGGGCTTCACGTTCTTCAAGCTGAAGAGCCTGGAGGGAAACCAGGACGGTATCGGACAGGTACCTCGCTACCATGCGGGGGAAGATGGTCCTTTACCGTATTTGCCAACTCAGGAACCTTTTGGGCCTACAACGACTTCGAGCTCTACCTCGAATGCTGCTGCGGAACCTTCGAGCTCTACGGCTGCGGCTGCTGCTTCTGGCGCTGTTCTGCGCTGGGGCTACCGCCGAGGAGGCGCTGCTGAGAGGGGCCGAGTAGTTGTACAGGCTGGTTCTCAGACCCCGCGACCTCCCGCCAATGCCGAAGAAACTAGCGGCGAGTGGAGCGTCATAGAGGAGGTCTGAGAAATTTTTGAGTTTGTAGCACTCCAGCGCTGGGGCACTGGAGTGGGGGGAGTGCGAGCTGTGAAACAGTTAAGCACGTAACCACCCCTTTTTTCAAAGATAGTACAGATGTCTCCAGCTGGCAGCTCCATGCCTTGAGGCCCCTGCTAGCAAGGATGACACACACATGGACGACAAGCACCCGCCGAATGCAACTGGGCATTTGGCTCAAGACCTGAGGCCTGAAAAAAGGTACAAGCTGTTGCTTGGCGGCCGACTGTGTTTCCCTTGGAAACAAATGCTGTTCCTTTTTTATGAATTTATATATATATATATATATATAGATAAATCCCAATCTGCTGCAAGCTGCTGTCAACTCAGGGCCCCAGCATCCGCCAATGCCAAGACGAAACTTTGGCCAGCGTTCGCTACCTCCAAGCGTTGCGCTGCGTTCGCACACACGAAAAATGCTGGGGTCGGGGATGAGCATCATCCAATTCATGTCGATGGGGGCAGCAGTTGTGAACAGTACCAGGTGAAGCAAAAGTCTCCTCCCCGCCTGCTGGCCGGGATCCTCATATGCAGGTTCATCTTCCTGTTCATCTTCCATTTCTACGCCTTAGAAAAATCCAAGCAGAAAAATGTGGATCCCTTTATTTCGGAACTCGGTTTTGCATCACTGGGATAGGATATATACCTATATGATCCTATATGTATGTATGTTTAGACTCGTAGATATAATAACATACACATGTAATTTAATTTAATATAATATATATATATATACATATATATATATACACATAATATATAGATATATATATATATACATATTATTTATATATATATATACATATAATATATATATATACATATAATATATATATACATATAATATATATATATACATATTATATATATATATACATATATCATATATATATATACATATATATATACTTACTATCCTCTACCGATCTGTACTTAATCTAATTATAATAATTATAGCTAGTCATATTATTGATGCTCGATGAGGAATTTCCCAACCAGAATAGCATGTGCGCTTCCCAGAAGATGGACGATATCAGACGTTTAATCCAAGCACCTAAACGCCCACCCCTTGTAATCTCGGCATCCCGGGTAAACAGTAATCGTGATCCCAGTTGAGTGCCACTACAAACAAAAACAACCACATCGTGTATCGAATATGGTACATCTAGACACTGCGTCTAATCATATATAGTGTGTACAGCTCTGTAGGACAGTAATAAAACCTATCTGTTATATTCCTACATAAACTTACTTATAGCAGATAATTATCTTATGATACGACGAGCAGCTGAATAGATATATACTGTGCGCGCTACATACACAATACCTACAGATAACCGTGTGTGATTTTCTATATATATATATACATATATAATATATATATAATATATATACATATAATATATATAAATACATATAATATATATATATATACGTGTGTGTGTGTATGTGACCCCAGTTCTTAACCACTGTCTACCTGTGGCGATTCCACTCTTTTCGTTCCGCTAAAAGGAACCTGAAATCCTGGGTTTGGTACCCCATAGCTCATTGTTTGTTGATAAGCATCACTATGATAATCTATTAATAATGATGACGTAGTCTCTATACATATGTTTCTATAGTTTATATCAATAATTATGAATAATTACGATAGTAAGAAGTAGACTAGAAGCATCATGAAACTCTTGAAAGGCCCCTAGAGCTATCCTCGGAGGTTCCTACCCACTATGGATACACAACAGACTGGGTTCTTCCCAGTTGAAGCAGATTGGCTTATGATAATCCCAACTAGCCACTGCTCATGTAAGTAATTGCAGGTCGAAGTGGGGTAGTGAACCTCAGACATTGGATGGTTGAATACTAAAAATAATCAGACTTAACCTTTGACCCATGCTAATTCGGGTTCCTCACAAAAATGCGCGATATGCCAACCTTTGGTGTACCCCATTGAAAATTGATCAAACTCTGCCATTTGGTGAAAACGAACAAATGTTTGAGCCATGGAAACAGGTTTCTACCAAAATAACCAAAAGATTGTAACGACAAAATCCCGTGGATAACAATCATTTTCCATCCCCGACGTTGAACCAAATGCGCACATCCATTATTCATCGGTTACACGGTTCCCCTCCGGCAAAGCTCAAAAGCTCCATTTAATGCGCGAATTTCTCAGCCAGCCACGTTCGATTACCACATTACATCCTCATGAAATCTACATTAGATTCCACCAAAATCCCAGTAAATCCCCCTTAAGTCACATCAAAATCCCATTAAATCCCATTAAACCCACATAAAATATCATTAAACTCCATTAAAACTTAAAACCCATTAAAACCAATTAAAATCACATTAAAACCCAATGAACTACCATTAAAATCACCTTAAACCCAATTAAAAGACCCACTAAAATCCCCTTAAACCTAATTAAAACCCCATTGTATAAGACCCATTAAAATCCTATTAAAACCCATTAAAATGCTATGAAGACCCATTAAAATCCCATTAAGACCCAAAAATCCCATTAAAACCCATTCAACTCCAGCTAAGACCCATTGAAATCACATTTAAACCTATTAAAATCACATTCAAACCCATTAAACCCAATTAAAATCCCATTAAAACCAACTAAGATCCCATTAAAACCAATTAAAATCAGATTAAAATCAAAAAAATACCATTAAGACCCATTAAAATATCATTAAAAATCTATTAAAATCCCACTAAACCCCATTAAAATCACATTAAAACCCATCAAAATCACATTAAAACCCATAAAAATCCCATTAAGACTCATTTAAATCACATTAAGACCCAATAAAATCACATTAAGACCCATTAAAATCCCATTAAAACCCATTAAAATCACATTAAGACCCATTAAAATCACATTTAAATCACATTAAAACCTGTTAAAATACAATTAAAGCCCATTAAAACCCATTAAAATCACATTAAAACCTTTTAAAATACAATTAAAGCCCATTAAAACCCATTAAAATCGCATTAAAACCTATTTAAATCACACTAAAAACCTTTTAAAATACAATTAAAGCCCATTAAAACCCATTAAAATCACATTGAAACCTATTTAAATCACATTTAAACCTATTAAAATCACATTAAAACCTATTAAGATCACATTAAAACCTATTAAAATCACATTAAAACCTAATAAAATCACATTAAAACCAATTAAAATCACATTGAAACCCATTAAAATCCATGTTGACCATGGGTGAAGTCCTCAGCTCCCCGACCCACTGTGCCGGTCGGCCAGCACACTCTCAGGTGCCTTGCGACCTATGGGATGAATCTATGGTTTTTATATGGTTCTATTTGAGTGGAAAATCAGAAATGGCGGTATTGAATGTTATTGATGAATCTATCACCTTAATTCAGGTGGATGAAATCGATATCAATGGAAAGCTAGTCATGGCGACGTTTCCAGCATGCCAAGCAAAAAAACACCAGTGAGTACCTTTTGAGAAGGTGATTGACTGTGCATCAAAACTGGAGGTCATGGTTTAGGATCCTTTTTCCCCATGAAACTTGCAATGAGTTGCAGTTTTCTCCATTTTCAACTGGAGAAACCCATCAAGTTCGGGATCCAATCGATCTCCGGAGGACTCCGAGCTTCCGAGCGACCCATGTGCGGCGAGGGAAAATCAATTGGATCTGAGCCCATACCGCAGATGGATTATGGTCAGATCCCTACTGCTATTGCTGAATCAGAACTCCTCCTTACCAAATATTATGTAGAATACATATATATATATACACATATATGTTTTTATATACAAGATACATAATTACATACACACATAGAATATCATAGAATAACATATTACGAGATATTACGAGTATCTAGAGATATCCATTCATGACCATTGATTGTCACTGTTGCTTCAGCAAGGAAGATCCTTAGTCAGCCTTTTTTCTGCCTGAAATGTCTGGGGTGTCGACAACAAGGTAGCCTCGGAGCGACCTCGTTCTCGACTGCACAACCCCACCCGACGTCAAGACCGACGTCACAAGGGGGAGAGGCGTCGAATGGAGAAACCGGTCGAAGATTGCCCAACAGGTTCATGCCTTGTTCCCCCACGGGTGCACCCACCAGGTTTCCAGTTCATAAATTTTTGTTCAACACAGAGGGTGCGGGGCAATCTTGAATGCCGGGAACAAAAACTTTGCAAAGTCCAGAACTTGTCTCTGTTTCGTTGGCAGAGTGCAAAGAGTTGTTGGACAAGTCTGAATTTAGAGCCTGCAGAAGAGGGGTTCGTGTTGCATTCCCAGCCAGCAACACACCAAGGAGCCAAAGATCAGCCTGTCCATCACTCTTGTCACGGGGTAAGTCTACCAGTTTACCCAAAAAACATATTTATCTTTTTAAGAATCAGCAGCCATTTCGAGGTCCAGTGCTAGCCCAAGTTACATAAATATTGAACTGGATAGTTGTTTTATGTTGCTGATACATTCCATTCTCCATCGATATTCCATTAAATCCACATCTTCAGTCAATCACCAATTGACACTATTTCGTAAAATCCCAAAAAAAAACACTAGATTCCATTCTATATTTCCCAGTGATATGTCGAATAAGAATAATAATGATGTTGATAATAATAATCAAAATAAATATATAATAATAATAATAGTAATAATAATAATGATGATGATAATAATGATAATAATAATAAATATAAATAAATATGTATATATACATATTCCAATATATACCAATATGTCGAATGATATATTCCCACATATATCTCCATGATGTCTCCATCATCATCCCATCAATGTCGATTCACCACGTCGGAGTCTTCCGCAGCTCTGCTGTCTGCCTCTGCCAGGTCAGCCTGGATTTTCCAGGGCTGCCCCGACCGACGATCAAAGGCGTCAGGCAAGACCAAGGGACGAACGAAATGTTTCGGAACTACCGCTTGGAAAATGGGTCGAAAATGGGTTGATGTTTATGGTTGATTTGATGTTTGAGATATGTTGATATATGTTATATGTTGATAATGGTTGATGTGGTTGATATATGTGTAGCAACACATAAAAATATTGAAGTGCATCTAGCATTCCCCATGTTAAAACATGTGGTGACCTTTGGAAAATCTGTTGAACTGTTCCAGATCCCAAGATTGAATCAATTCAAAAAGGTTGGTTTGTTGAATTCTTGCGGATTTAAGCCCATATGCACATCAAGGCCGGCTTGCCATGGTGTAGTTCCTTCCAAGTTTACAGACTCGCTCTGTACAAAGATAGCAAGGCAGCATGCTCCCATAAGCACGACAGTCGAACCGGCGCGAGTCGACAAGCGAGAATCCTGCTCAAAGAGACCCATTCCCAGCTATTGGGGATGTGACCATCTGCGGATAAAGGAAACCCATCATTAAATGGGATTTCCTCAACAAACAACTTGTCATCTTGATGATGTCTTGATGATGTCTTGATGAATCAGTTTTGATGCTACCAGGGACGCCATGATCACATCACTTTGAGCAGCTTCTGCCAGTTACTGCAAAAAGCGCGCAGGTAGCAAAAAAACACTGCAGAAAATTGAACAGTTCCCCAGCCTGATCAGAAGTTCAAACATGAAAAAGAGCGCACTCTTCAAAAAAAGTGGTGCTTTACAAACTGTGTGACACCACATCAAAGCACTGAAAACACTGCTCTGGTCAGCAGCATTCCCAGGAATCAAAAAAATGCAGCCGAATTTTCTTCGCGTGTTTCAAAACGGCAGGCAGAAGCATGAAGTCTCCCTCTGGCAATTTGCAGAGGCTGCCTGTACATGCTTTGCGTCCTTGCATCACTTTGGCAGACGACCAAGCCAAATGCTGTCATCGGTGGCCAGCAACCTCAGGCTATGGATCAAAAAATGGGGTGCCCAACAATGTCCCAACACCCCACGAAATGCGGTTCACGATGTTTACCCTCTGTTTACCCTCTGGTTATTTAACATAGCTATGGAAAATGGCCCATGTATAGATGATTTTCCCAGCTAGAAACCTCCATTTACAATGGATTTTCCATAGCTATGTTAAATAACCAGATGGTACCGATCAACCACACACCAAGGTGAAGCCACGGGAAAAGCCCGACTTTTCCGTCCACCGCAGCTGCCGCTCGACTGATCCTGGACCGAAGATCTTCGGTAAAGTGTTCAAAACAACCCAACCACAAACATGTTGGAAATCGTTAGTTTGGTGATATGTTATGGGACATATGATATATATATATATATGTGTGTGTGTGGTATATATATATGATATATATATATGATATATATATATATATGATATATATATGATATAATATATATATATGATATATATTATATATATGATATATATATATATATGTGGTGTGCATATATATATATATGTGATATATATATATATATGATATATATAATATATATATATGATATATATATATATACATTATATATGATATATATATAATATATATATATGATATATATATATATGATATATATATATATGATATATATATATATATATATGTGGTGTGCATATATATATATGAAATATTATATATATATATATATATGAAATATATATATATATGTGATATATATATATGATATATATATATATATTATGATATATATATATGCATGATATATATCATATATATATATACATGTCATATAAATATATTTAGATATATATTTAGATATATCAAATATGTATATATATATGATGTATATAATATATCTATAAATATATATATATATGATATATATATATATATGATATATATATATATATGTATATGATATATATGTATATGATATATATATATATATATATATATATATGATATAGATATATATTATATGTATATATATATATATCATATATGTATATATGATATATATTTACATATATATATATATGTGATATATATATATATATATATTATGATATAAAGCCTCTGGTAATCAAAAACATGGCAACGGAAAATGCCCAGTTTCTCGATGTTCCCATAAAAACTTACATTTATAGGCAGGGGAGTTCCCATTGCCGTAACCAACTTGATATGATATGGGGTTGTCTGACAATTGGGAGGGCAAAAAACACGATGGAAATTCACCAACGAGGCTGGCAAAACTTTGGAGTGTGACCAGTGTGACTGGCCTTTTGAGTGAACAAACACATCAAAAAAAAACATCTCTTTCCAGCAAACATCTTGGCACATCTTAGCTTCCAATGCTGAACAAAAAGTGTTCCTTGCTTTCGACAGCACCTTAGAATCTGTGGGATTTGTCGCGCTTTCGATGCTGAAACCATATGGGGGTTGTCTCAAAATCTACTGGTTAATTGCCATTCCTCTTAGTTTGCCAGTTTGGGAGTATACCCCATTTTCAGACACACTCACATGTCTCAAATGTTCAACCCCCATTCCAAAAACCCATCAAAAACAGCGACTCAGCTGGGCTCTCGAACTCCTGTTGCAAGCTAAAGCAAATTCACCCCAAAGAGTCCAAATACTTTGTCTTTAGTAACTTCAGATCCTTAAAACCGCCCTTATTGTGTTGACCGCGAAGTGCCCGTTGTCGAACCAGTTGAATTTCCTCACATGGATGCTTACATCTCTATAAACTGCTTAGTTAAATCATTCATTGTTGGACACACCCAAATATCATATGGTCGGTTTGTATATCCACATGAAATATCTCCGAAAATCGGTCCACTAAACCCATCTCTTGTTGGTTTTTTAAATCGCCAATTTTTTGAAGGTAAATATACCCTTGTCTCCCCATGTTTGCTGTCTTAATAGCTGATGTTTCTCGGTTAAATCATGTTAAATCCAAATGTTTGTTGGCTAAAGTAGTCGATGATTCTTGATTAGATCCATTGAATCCAATAAAATCCTTATTTATCCTCATTTTTGCTGGTGAAAGCCCATTAAATCACCATTAAATCACCATGTTTCTTGGTTAAATCACACTATGTTCATCCCAAAGTCCAACAGGGGCGGCTCCTGTCAAGGCTTCATTCCTGCAGCAGGCCAATCTCTACCAGCAGCCGCTGACCATGTCTGGTCCTAGCGAAGTCGTGGGCTAAGGCCTGGCGACGGTCGCTTTTTCGATAAAAACTTGGCGTTTCGAAATATATTATATGCATATCATGTGTATATATATCATTATATAATATATATATATATCATGTGTATATATATAATTCAGGCCCAATGTATGTATGTGTATATATATATATACTCATGTGTATGTGTATATATATATATGTGTGTGCATGTGTATACATATATATATATAATGCATGTACAGACATAGAGGTCTCAAGATAATTACATGAATATTCAGATATCACATATCCTACACTACATAGATGTTGTACTGTACTTATATCGCCATGTACCGTATACATCCGTATACGCTCTGGCGAATTGACACTTCCACCCAGCTTGTGCCGCGCTTGCGCCGTCGGCTCTGTCTTGAAATGGGGGTTTCCTAGAATGGGGGATCCCCAAAACCACAGGTTTCCGGTGGTTTCGGATGAGTCAAAATTGTGCTACCCAAAATGTATCGTCAAAGTAATTCAAACAAAATGACCAAACTCTGTAATCAGCTCAGATTGATGAGGCTATACCCTTAAATCGGTAAATCACCATGTCGTCCTAATAAATTGGCCATGACTTCCAAAGATTCATCCTCCGTTTTCAGACACCCAAAAATCATTTGTTGGTTAGTTCTATCTCCATTATATCATATTATCTATATCCATATCTACATATCATTATATATATATATCATTATATATATATCATTATATATATATATATCATGATATATATATATATATATATCATTATATGTATATATCATTTTATATTTATATATATATCATTATATATATATCATTATATACATCATTATATACATATATATATATATATCATTTTATATTTATATATCATTATATATATATATATCATTATATATATATATATCATTATATATATATATACTTCAGTGTATATCATTATATATATATATCATTATATATATATATATCATTATATATATATATTATTATATATATATATCATTATATATATATCATTATATATATATATATCATTATATATATCATTATATATATATCATTATATATAAATTTATCATTATATATATATATGTGTGTGTGTCTCATTATATGTATATATATCATTATATATATATATATATCATTATATATATCATTATATATATCAGTATATTTATCATTATATATCATTATATATAAATATCATTATATATATATATCATTATATATATCATTATATATATATATGTATATCATTATATGTATATATATGTATATCATTATACATATATGTGTGTATATCATTTTATATATATATCATTATATATATATATCATTATATATATATATCATTATATATATATATATCATTTTATTTATATATATCATTATATATATCATTATATATATATATATCATTATATATATATCATTATATATACATATATATATATAATTTTATATTTATATATATATATATCATTATATATATATCATTATATATATCATTATATATATCATTATATATATATCATTATATATATATATATCATTATATGTATATATATATATCATTATGTATATATATATATATCATTATATATATATATCACTATATATATCAGTATATTTATCATTATATATCATTATATATATATATATCATTATATATATATCATTATATATATATCATTAAATAAATATATATATATATCATGTTATTTATATATATATCATTATATATATATCATTTTATATTTATACATATATATATATCATTATATATATATCATTATATATATATCATTATATATTTTTGAATATCATTATATATATATACTTTTATACTTATAGAAATCCCATGAAATCCCCCTACCGTCTCCCCATTCGCTTTGCCACCCCAGCACTCTTTTTCACAGCCCACCTGGATGCGATTTAAGGCCTCCTGGCCGTTCACCCTCTCATCCTGCAAGAGCGACTTTGCCACATAGCAGCCGAATTGCGACCTGAAAAAGCTTGGTCCACATGGCACCGTGGGCTGAAGCTGGGGATATTTTTGTGGATACTGTGTGTATATATATACATATATGTGTGTGTGTACATACTAATTGTATATAATACATATGTAGTCCCAGCGATCCCAAGAAAATATATTTTGAACTGGTCATATCACAGGCAAACCCTTCATCAGATCCATTGACCCCGGCCCACCTTGCTAAGTCCACGATCACATCTGTGCGGCCCAATTGACTTAGCAAGGCTCTCTGGTCCTGATGGCGGTTTTCATCGACACCGTGGGATGATAAAATGGTGGGATGGTGAACCACCATGGTCACCATGGTCAAAACTGAAAAGTTTCGGGATAATTCGAGATAATCCGATCCAATAATTGGCCATTTCCGGATCGACACCCCCAATGAGCTATGCGACAACTTCGTGGGACCCCAAGAGTTGACCGGGCCATGCCGGGCCCAGCCTCAACAGCGCAATAGGACAAGGCCTTCTCCACCAAGTAGCTTGCGTTGCGATGCTTAGCAAAGCTCAATAGGTCTGCTTTCAGGATATTCGCCACCACTTTGCGGTGCTTCTCATGCCCATGTTCTAACACAGACTGCACCACGTGATGCCCAAAGTTGTGACGACACAAATCCTGGGAGAAAAGAGAGATCAATGTGTAACACTGTGTCCAACCGATGCCGACCACTGCCAAAAAAACAAGTGAAGTCGGAAGAAATGTAAAGCAAAAAACAGAGTCCAAAAAAATAGTGTCTTTCTATATACTTTTATATCATGTTAAATTCATGTCTTAAATTTCCATATCCATATCTAAATCAATACGATTCACTTCAGCATACCTGGACTCTTTAACTCTCCATCCCCTCACCTCAGCTTCGACCAACAACTCATCGATTAGCTGCAGTGTCAAATCCCTGGCGCGCGACGTTGTGAAGCGACATGTATGCATACATATATACCTATCATATGTGCGTATATGTCTACGTATATGTTTATGTATGTTTACATATGTATAAGTGCAGATATGTGCAGATATATGCAGATATGTGCATATAGATATGCATTCATATCAAATATTATATACAAATGTTGTTCTATACATCTATATACTCCTATGCAACAATGACAACAATGGGGACATAACATCGCAGGAACCAGCAGCCACAACTGGTCGCTAAATTCAACCCCTTTAAAAAACGTTCTGCTTGCGATTTTTTCACATCTCTGCGCACCGCATTTTTTCCAACATTTATATTACACGTGAAAAACCCACACATGTACACATGTATGTATATACACATACATATGCATATATAAGCATATATATATGTAACTATATATGTTTCATCCTATCTCCAGTTATGTCATTCCATACATTTTGCGTAATTCCATTTATAGATCTATCTATGTAACTCCAATTATACAATTTCAGAAACTAACCTGTATATACATACAATATATGTATTCCATACTTGTACATTTATGTATATACAAATCGTATCTCCGTCCGAAAATACATTATACATATACATATGTATCTATACATCAGAAATTTACTTCTAAGTATATCATTCTCTATCCACATTGATACATATATACAGTTTACATACATATCTAATCATATGCCCATGCTATAAAACTATATTATACATATATGATATGTATATAACTAATATACTATATATACTATATTATATTATTACATATTATAAATCCTCAATTCCATCAAGATCTTCACCACCTTTCCATCCCCGGCCCCGCCTATTGCCACAGAACTCCTGCAGGCGACAAAAGATGCGGCAGGCGTAGCGGTGTCGCGCCAGACGCGCGCAGGAATTCACCAACTCCCGCGCCACAAAGCTGGAGGCCGCCCACGTCAAGGTGGACACGACCTGGACAAATGGGATGTGTGAAAATAATTCCATTCATGTAACAATGTGTGTATGTGTATATATATATACATATATGTATGTTCACATATGTATGTATACTAACATGTGTATATTAAGTTATATTAATATATACACCATGTGTAAATGGGATTTGTTCCATTAGACATAGGTAAGTGGAACAGTTACCCCAGTAGGAGATGGCTTTTTAGCCACTTTGAGCGACTTACGAGTCCTGGGATGCTCACCATTGATTTCCAGATTCATAACTTGGATAGAATGGGGTCCAGAAGGAAAGTTCCCATCATTTTTTCTGACTCAACTTTTGCGAGCTTTCTATTCGATTCGATTCAAGCGTGCCTTCTGGATCACATAGTTCGCATGTGGAGATACTGCAGCTTCCTGAACGTGTCCGTGGAGTTCCCGCGTTAGCAATGCCGCCTCATGGCAGCCTGTTTCCAAGGCCAGCTGGACGAGCCGGCAGCCAAGAGCATGCTGTGCCAATTGCCAGACATGACCTGCCGCAGGGTGATGCACCACCGACCATTTTTTGGGGGAACAAAACATGGCAAAACCTACATGTTTTGAGGGGATCAAAGTCAGGAGTGACAAAATGTCAAAATGATATTTTTGGATTCTGATCATCCTCCGATTCTGAAGCGGTCATTTGAGTCTGTTTCTAAAGGTAAAATGTCGAAGACACCATTGTTTTTATGATGAAATATCGGTTCATCGATAAATGTGCCCTTCATACTGGGAGCCGGTGGTGGCTTGCTTGCCAGCCCAGAAAAACATGAGTTAGTCCTTTGGTATGAGGAATATCCCTTTTTTTGGGGGTGAAAAATGAAAAATTGAACCGGGTGACCCTGGATGGTGACCAGTGCTTTCTGAACTTCGTCAGTAATTCCGCTGGTCAACTGAGAACGAAGGAAGTCCATGTTCTCCAAAATGGAATTGATGGAGTCGCTTTTTACCTCAGTTGCAAAAACAGACACCAGCTGGAAATGGAGTGAAACTTGGTAGACCATGGGATAGCCTCTGGTAATCCAATATGGCTGGCTGGAAAACTCCCCATTTAGTTCAATGATGTTCTCAGCGAACTAAACCTCCACTGACTTCGGGGATTTTCCAGCCAGCCCACGTTTGATTGCTGGAGGCTAAATCCCAAAAAAAACTCCCAGATCTGTCTGTCCTGGGATATTTTAACTCTCATCAAAGTTGGATTCAGCCAGTCAGATCCCACTTTTCGGCACCAGCTAGTGAGCACACTGGCACAAGCCTATGACAGTAATCCGTATACCCCAATTTATGGGCCAATGGATCTTGATGGGCCAATTCTTTTCGCCAACCTGATGACCTCTCAAAAAATGGAGATCCACCCCCCAAGCTTATTACAGTATCCATGCGAATCTCCATGTGAATCTGTACGAATCTAACATGGCTGAATGGGGTATTTAAAAAAAATGCAGATTCCATTCCCGTTGAAGGCAGAACTTCCCATTGCATCCCATTGCTAATTACGGTTTAGTTGCCCCAGGGTATCCCCTTCCTCAACCTATATCACCTAGCTGAATTGGTAATACATCCCAGTATCTCATATGATTTTAATGATTGTACTAGTACAAGTCTCATTCATTAATAATGTGATAAACCCAATACTAAATCATCCCCAAAATCACAATAAATGGGTGGTCTAAACCATCCGCAAATGGTAAGTAGATACATCACAGTTTGCAATCATCATCCCCAAACCCCATCCCCATCTCGCATCCTCCAATAGCCTCTTCCCCGTGTCATTCAATATGTAATAATCCCATGATGATTCTAATATGGGTACAGTATGCAACATCATAAATCATAGTAGTTATGGTTAGATAACTTAGATAACTTAGACTATCATTATGTATACACAATGATCCCATTGGCATACTTATGAATATAGCACAATCATCCCATTGTATACATGGGGCCGTTAGATCCATTAATGGTTACCCCATTAGCTATCGATTATGAACATTAACATGCTGCTGGACATAAATCACCCTCTATAATATATATATATATACACCTCCTTATAGATAGTCAAATTATTTCTAAAAAATATCAATCACCCACTATCCACTAGCATCTTACGTAAAATCCCACATGAATGGATATAGTTGGTTGTATATTCCATTATATCATGAAAATCCCTATGAATAGATCATTAATTGTGCTCTCTTGATAGTTAAATCGCCAGTTGACACTCCGACATAAATATTATAAATATGTATATATATATATATATTATATTATATATTATTCCAGTGTATCTCAAGTATACGTCCGTCATAGTCCCACGTACAATCCCACCACCAATCAACCATGTATCCCAATTTTATGTCTATCATATTCCCATTATATCTCATCATATTCCCACTGTATGTTGGTGAATGTGATGGTTTATTATTGGCTTTACCGCATTATTCCCATGATATCCCACCAGTCAACCATCATTTATCAACTATATTCCCATCTTTTCGTGGTTCAAACATCTTCAAACCGGCATCATGATGCTCAAATCACCAGAAAAACGAACCAATCAACCACCACCACCAACCCCGTCCCAGTGATCCTAGTAGGTCCTAGTGGCTCTTCCCGCCGACAACGGTGCCACCTTCTCCCCTCGATGCTCCAGCGCCGCCTGTGCTGCTCGCTCAGCCGCGCGCTTGCGCCGCATGCGTCGTGCGGCACTGGTCGAAAGGCGCGGCCGCTCCAGCCGCTCCTCTGCGGTCGTGGCGGTGTCGGTCTCCTGGCGGATTTCATTCACTGGATTGGTTTTGTTGGGGAAAATCTTAACCGGAAACCCATGGGTTTTGACCATCAAATTGGTTGGGCTTTCCGCTTAAAATGTTCCCATCATCCAATTCTATGATTTCATCATTTCATGGGCATTTCCCATGGGATTTCAGCAACAAACCTGGTGATTCCATGGGTTATTGAATGGGGATTGAATGGGATCTAATGAGATATCGCTACCTGGAAAATCCCTGAGCTAAATGGAGCTTTGCATCGGAAAATCATCAAAGTGAATGGTGGATATGTCACGTTTGAGTACCGGAGGGTAAGTATCTAAGGGATCTCATTCTGGTGTGTATATATATAATTATATTATATATATATATATACATAGTGGTTATAGTATATAATACCATCATTATGGTCATTGTTATGGTTATTTGGCTATTATTATGCTTATTATTATGTTTTATCATTGTCATTAAGTAAGGCCATATTATCAAATGTCGAGAATGTAATATACCATCATGAGTGCGTGTTTAATAATAAGTGGTAGTTGATGTTCCCATTGTGGGTAATGGCAATATGGCTATGGCCATATGGTTTCTATAGATGATGGATTTTCCATTAGTATATGGTGGTTGGTTGACTATTACTGTTAACAATGATGGTAGTGAGAGTGGTTTCCACATGGTTGGTTAGCCATGATGGTGAGTGAAACCAGTAGCCATACCTTTGTGGTTATCATTTTGGTTACTAGCCTAAGGGATATATAGGGATGTATCACAGCCTAATCAATTATGGTCTATCACTATGGTACATAGATCAGAATATGTCACTATGTGATTAGGTTTATCATGGGGGTCCAATCTATGTTCCACTTTACATATCCCAATTGGGCTCGCAATATATCCTAAGTCTGGCCACTCAGAGTGGTTGTTCAGATTCGCCCTGGAAATAAGCTCAAACATTATGGGGCTGGTTACCCATGGGGGTGGTTTAATGATGATGTTAGCAGGACCTTATTGTCATGTGTATATATATATACAGACCCATTATGTATATATATATATATGTATACATATGTACATATTTACATACCCGTATACCCATTGTAGTTAGGTTTATCATGGGGGTTCCCCCACTTGAAAGGTGACATCCCCAATATATAATACTTCAGAATAGATCATCAAGATGTGCCCTTCTTGTTGTCACTATTGGCGGTGAAGTTTTGTCCTTAACCCAAAGATGTTGTACCTTTCAAAGGGTTGAATCCCATTTAGTGACATTGTTTGGTGTTTAAGGGATAATCATGAAGATCCATTGGAAACCATTAGCTGCTATGCCACCAAAAAATGCTGGGGTGGTCTAAATGGTTACTAAACATGTCATAAATTCGAATAAGCACAAATGGCTGATGCTACTGGTAGGGAGGATGGATGGCTGGGTCAGACAGAAATGGAAAGTTGACCACCAGGTAGGGTCGTGGAAATGGAGGGCGCTGGAGAAAAATCCAACGAATATGGAGAGTCAAAACCAAATACCCTTTGGTAATTTAACATAACTATGGAAAATCACCATTTATAGTGAAATTTCCCATGAAAAATGGTGATTTTCCATAGTTATGTTAGTCATTACCAGAGGGTATGGGGATTGAACCCATCAAGGAGGTCATTGATTGATGGGACCCCCTGGGATGGCGGGATTCGGATTCCATCTTTTCAGAACTGAAACGATCATCCAAAAACACGTGAATAATATTCATGAAATTTCATTAATATTCATGAAATTTCATGAAATGATCATTCCAACCTAGACATCCTAGACTTAAAACCTATGTTGGAAATGGGGACCTAACACTCATTGGGCCGAGACACCTGCAAAAGCTTGTTTGGTAAGAAAGATGGGAAGATACCACCAGCAAAATGAGGGGTTGAGTGAGGGGTAAGCCAGCCAACATGCATGGGGTTGACAGCAGATTGCTATCCGTTTTGCCAACCTCATGGCCCATCCAGTAGGGGTTGAATAGTTTCCCGCCACACTTGGTTGAGGGGATGGATGCCACAAAACCAGCTGGGCAATGAAATCAACTTTTTCCTTGTCGATCCAATGCCTTTGGGACAAGTTTCCCACCTTCTTTTCAGTGGATAATATTTCCCTCTATCATCATTGTTTGCCAAGCAATCTTGGTGGACCTCTCTTTAAGCTGAAGACGTTACCTGGTTATCTTTCCCAGCAAAAGCCCCAAAACCCGCAGCGCCGCGCCTCTGGAGACGCCTGTCTCTGGGGACTCCTGGGTGTGACTGGGAAGCTGCTACTGCCATCGGCAGGCATGGGAGCTAGCTGTGCCATCTGGGGCATGTACACATACTCAGGCTTGGCATAGATGGCAGGGGCCGCCATCGCCTGATATGGGAAGGTCGCCACTTGAGGCGCCACCTGCCCCATCCCCATCTGGCCGCTCATCTGGCCCATCTGGCAGGCCGGGCCCACCTGACCGACTTGGCCGACTTGGCCCATCTGACCTGCGGGCACCAGGATGCCCACAATCACCTGCTGTGGGAAGGACTGCATTTCTGTGTTGCACTCTGTCATGGTCATTTTCACCTCGCGTTCGGCGCGCAAGTTTTTGCGTCAAAGTGCGCTAGTTCCTCTAACTGGAAACTCGCTTGAACCAGCGCAACGTCAACACTCAAGGGATGTGCAGCTGGAAATGTGATGTCATCTATCAGGAATGCAAATTGCCACTCGCAAGCAGGGCACTATATATAGTCGCTCCAATGCAGTATTCGACATGCCGTAAATTGGATGATTACCCAAGTATTCACAAGTCGAATGGCCATATGGGTATGGGTTAAACCGACCCTGGGAACCCTAGAGTTGTTTCGTTGTAGTCTTGGCAGAGAACCACCCATTGACATTTGGGTCGCAAAAATCTAACCCATACCCAAAATCAGATAAATCAGATCTTTTTCTCTCCCTGCGTTCTCATCCACTTGGACGAATTGGCAATTGGTCGAGACACAACGCACAAGGCCTCGAATTTCTGCACCGAATTGGGAATCACTTCCAATCATTTCCAGCTCGGGCCTCCACTCAGAGGCGCAAGGGGTTCGTAGGGAAGGGCAGTTATGGGGGTAAACTGTGCCATACCTATCCACACCATTGTGTTTTACGATTGAAGAGTTGACACCCCAGGTATATGATCACTTTCATCGACGCATGCTGGGTATCTGGGAATCACCCAAGTCGCAAACCGGTCCAAGAATGTTCCAGACAAGTCTCATCCATGCAAAGTACCGTAAAATCTTCCCATCGGTGGCTGGCTGAGAATTCTTCCGAAAATGCTGAAATAGCCAACATTCCATGGCTTGGTTTCGGGGGAAATCTGGGCGCTGCCTGCAGATTTCAACCAATGCTGGTAGGGATGGTGAAGTTCATTGACCAGCAATGGGAATCTCATTGGAATACCATTGGAATATCAAGAGGATATGATATAACCAATGATTCTACCCATGGCTCGCTATACCCCAGGCCCATTCCCCCAGTCCAAGTCACGGTTTCGACTACCGCACAGTTCTGCCTCGGGCCATTTTGAACATAGCAGAACTGGCGTGGAGTCTGGAATAATGGACGAAGATGGATGAAGTATGGATTAGATACTTTGGTATGGGATATTCCGGAATGTTATAAGATTGGATATGAATGGGATTAAATGGGATATTCATAGGATTCTCATGGGATATTCATGGAAGTTTGATGGGATTTGGATGGGATTTTGGGATTTTCATGGGATATTAAGGGGATTGATGGTGGGGGTTATATAATATAAATAACCGGCAGAATATAATTTGGATATATCTGGATAATTTGTCACAATAATTCACTAAGCTTGAATGTTAGGCTATGTTGGGATAGTTACCCCAATCCTTAGCATCATTTCAAGAGACATCGCGACGTGAGGTCGTGATAATTCATCCAAATATGCAATGGACATGTTTGAAAATGGGGATATGAAAACGCGCATCGATGATGGAAATATCAACTCCAAGATCTAAAAGCGAACATGACACCCGGAATGATCTCCTAAACGCTGTGATATGTTTTTGAGTTAAAGTCCGAAAATGGGCATAGCTGTGCTAAAAAAGGCATAGTTCATTGGGGTGCCAACCTACATTGCTGGGTGAGCTGGAGATTCCCACTGAGGCATCTACCAGCAGTTGGGATGTATCTCGGTCAAGCTTCGCATGCGCTGCCTCCGGGGCGAATTTTTACAGCTCACTTCACGGTCCGTTTTAACGACATCCGATGGTTATGGGTCAAAACTTGCGGTTTGGGAACCCAGATATCCACGGATAGAATGACACATTTCTATACATTTCTATATATGTTTTGGTCAATCATCCCAAGTTTTGTTGGTGAAATTCCCACCCCTTCTATCCAAATTTGTTGCTCAAACCTTAAATTTTGCTGGTTCAAATCCCACTTTGCCCAACGACTTGGCTCCCCGAATTCGGCGAATCCTCGATTTCGTCTTGCAGCGCAATGATGGATTTCTCCTGGGAGACAAAAAACTCATCGAACTTCATCGAACTTCTCCACTTGGGATCTCCTCATGGAAATCCATGGGAAAAATCTCTTGAAAATGCTGATCTATAGTGGATTTACCCATTGAAATATGGTATGTTCAAAACTAGGAACTGATCTGAAGCATCACAAAAATCCCTGCCTGTGATTGGTTCGCCAGCTCCTGCTGCTGCAAGTGTTTCCTGCGGGTGCGATGTGGGAACCACTAGAAATCATGGGCCTGGGAGGATCACATCCGCTCCTCAACAGCTGCAGCTTCGCTTGCAATTCATGGGTGCCAGCTGACTCCTGACCGCAGGGTGGCACCCTGTGGCTTTTTCCTATGACCTGTGGGCGCAAAGATGGAACACATATATTTAAAGTTCTCGTAGGGAGCCTACCCGGCTGGAAACCTGTTGTTTTGATGGTGATCCTTGATTTGTAGCGCAGGGGATGACAGAAAGTTTGGGAGGACGGAGGTGTCTTGTGGTGACATTTCCAACTTCCATGAGGGTCGAATCAGAGTGATGTCTGGATCTCTATCCCAAGAACCCGACAGAAAAATGCAGCCAAACCATTTCGATGGCCCTGAGGAGTAGCCCAGTCAAGTATGGTAGAATCATGCGAGATTAGAAATCCTCAAACTCTCAAGGAGTGTTTTTTATGTGCAAATGGCATCGAAAGCTCCAGAATAGGCCAATGGCATCCAATGGCCACGCATGATTATCCATCACTGTCCATGGGTGATATGATGTCAGCCATGTCAGCTGTCCTTCACAGCCATCGAAGTATCAACCAACTCCTGCGCCATGGTGGACTCACCTTCTGGACATGCCATGTCTGCCCTCAAAAATGGGATCAGTGTCATGTGGAATCTAAGATCATCTAAGTGTGTATTATGATATGTGGACAATGGGAAAATGGGATGAGTAGATTCAATGTGAATCTAAATGTGTTTCACGTTTCTAAATGAGAAAATGAGATGTGATCCAGTGCGATCCAGTGCGATGTGAGTGCGATTCCCGCTGTCGGAGTTGTGCATGAAAATCTCCACCAAAGCCACACAGCACGACAAAATGGTACGGGTATTGTCTCCCGATTTTTCAGTCGGAAAAAGATCAGAAAAAAAAAAAAACACCAAAAAAGATCCGGTTTTCCATGGCTTTCTAGATTCCCATGGGATTCCATGACAGGGTTCCAAGTGGCGACTCGCGACCCGGTCGCTTCTCCACCCCGACTCCAACGGACCTCAGGGAGTGGTTCCTCTGCCATTGGAGCCTCAGAAAGGAGCCAGAAAATCATGGGAAAACTGAAGGTGTTCGAGGTTTCTTAGGAAATCACAGAGGACTTCAGGGATCTTTTTCTTGGGGTTTTCGCATGTGTTTACCTTCAAATCAGCTGTTTCCTGCAATACAGTGCCGATCAAAACTGGGATATCATCCCATGCGCTGATGATGTTAAACTGTAATCGGGGGTCTTTAGGGGTTGTGACATGAAATCGCATTTCTAACGGGTGGGGCTTGTCAGGGCGCGTAGCAACCCAAAAAACATAGAAAAGCAAAATTCTACTAAAATTGTGGTGTGTGTGTATATATATATATATAAGTTCTAGGTACACTTTTGGTATTTTCAGTCAATGTTCGATTTTAAGAGTTTGATCCATCATTTTGGGGCACCTTCCCTTGCCACGCCACCCCGGCCTCTGCCATGTCCAAACGGGCCAAGAAATCTGCGATCTGAAGATCCCACATCGCCTCAACCATTGAGCCATGTAGAAACCCCGTTTTTGAACACAAAAAATGGTTGCCAGCTCACTGTACTGGGGTTCCAGATGGTTCCAGTATCTGTATTTTCTGTCATGGTTCCATATTGTCCCCTCCAGTTCTTGGAAAGCAGGCATATCCTAGACATCAAGGCTTGCTGCAAAGCTTAAAAAGCCTCGGGTTCTGTCACTTCGACGTATTTTCAGACTTGGAGGCACCTCCGTCTGAGCTTTGTGAGCTTTGTCGGCGAAGGTTGCTGCCATCCACGTCTTCATCTGGGTCAAACACTGATTCCACCGACACAGCGTCCCACAAAAGATGGATTGGGGATGTGTCAAAGCCAATGATACCATCTGAATTGGTGGATGAAGCTCCATTTACTAGTTGATCCACGTATTGACCCGAGGTTCCCTGTTTTTTGATGGAAATCTACAGGAAAAGGCCCATCTTCCATGGTAAAAACCATGGAAGATGCTAATGTTCCAAGAGGGGCGTAACCTTCTCCGGCCTGTTGCAAGCTCTGCAGATCGTTGGGAGACAGCGCCACGTCAAAGAGGACCTCAAAATCCTGGCATTCGCCAACCAATTTGCTGATGTTTAGCAGCTCTGTTTAGTAGCAAACTCTCTGATTTTTCAGGGTTTCTTGGTTACATCATGTTACATCCCCAGCTTTCGTTATCCCATTTTTGTGTGTCAAACCGTCGATTGAATTCGTTTGAGCCATCATTTCTACATTGCCTCCCCTTGCTGCTTAACAACAATACGCTCATTCTCTGGCAATGAACAATTCCCCATTTATATGACAATTATATGTCCATTTATAGCTGATTAAATCACCAAAAGAGTGGAAAAAAATAGCTGATTGCATCACTCCAACTCAGATTTGTCCTATATTTTCCTATTAAAAGTGGACCTTTTCTTCAGTCTGCCGTGCAATTTCACCCGGTGTTTTGTAGCCGTCCTTTGGCCGTCCTGCTTCAGAATGTCCGCCACAGAGCAGCTCACCAATCGCTCGGCCGCCTTTAAGAGTTTGACCTTGGAGCAGTTCACCAGTTGGAGTTCAATGCCTGGATTTTGGTAAAGCATTGCCATTTTTACCACCCATGTTAGGCTTGATGGTTGAGAAACCACCCATGGTACCCTCTGGTAATTTAACATAGCTATTGAAAATGATGATTTATAGTGGATGTTCCCATTAAAAATGGTGATTTTCCATAGTTATGTTAGTTTACCAGAGGGTACTGGTAAAATTGGCGATGGTTTACTGATGGGCACCATGGTAACAATCAGTTGCGATATGTTTGGCGGCTGTGGCAACGCCATGACTATCCATGACTGGAACTGCGAGCTTCAAGCCCAGAATAGACTGTGTAAATTTCTCCCCAAAAGTTGGGATTTGAAACAGAGTGGCTGATTTTTTTCAGAATCTCCAGTCTTTCTTTATTCCCATTCCCTATATTGTTGGGCTCATATGCCATTGATCATGAGTAGGCACCCGAATCTTGCTGCCTAATGATGAAAGGTTCAGCCACAAAAGTCCTACGGATTTTTAGACACAAAGCAGTTAGGGATTTCTGCAGCACCCAGCAGATTTAAGCCTCAAAAAACGTGAATTGATTCGGAGTGTCATCCCGTTTTTGGGGATGGAGAGTAATAGTTGAAACATGTTGAAACCACCAAGCAGTTTGCTGATGATTCTAGTTGGTGAAGTGGCGGTTCACACGAATTATTCCTGTGGGTTCTGGTAAACTGCTTTCAGGTCGAACACAAAATGCCACAACCAACCAGGGTGTTCCAAGTGGTTCATTGGCAAGGCGATGTGAAATCGCTGCGTCTGAAAATGAGGCATATCCCCCAAAATGGGCTATTCAATGGGCAGTAGAGGAGTGGATTTGAGGTATGGTATACCAATATATACCAATGGTATACCCCATTTTTCTGAGAAACCCAAATTTCAAATCGAGAGTTTGGGTGCACCAACCACAAGTGGTCACTATAGCCAGATGAAATTCCCGGAGATGGTCGTCCTAGAAAAACCCCACTGGTCTTGGAAATATGACATTCCACGTGGAGGTTTCCTGGAATGGGTGTACCCCAAAACCATAGGTTTCAATGCTAAAATGATCTAACTTAGGATGATTTGGGGGTATACCCCCATTTTAAGACAACTCCATGTGACCATCTCCTAACATACAATGTTGGGCCACACCAAATTTGGAACATCGGCACGGCACACATCTTTTCGGACCAGATCTTTGGGTACAGTGTCACACATTCAGCCACTAAGCTTCGGACCAGTCGGGCTCCCTTTTCAACCGGCACTGCTGCTGTTGCTTTGGTCGTCTCCTCCTGAAAGCTACGAGCAGTTGCCCAAGGTGGCCCCCGTTGGGGCTATCCACCAGGTCACCAGTGTTTTTTGAGCCCCTGACCATCGCCGAGAGGACAGCGCTTGTTTCGTGTGCGTAGCTGAATGTTTTCCTGGACTATCTGAATATCAAGCATATCATGTTTTTTTTTCGTGCACAATAAAGCACTATTCATTCCAGTCTGCTTTTTCCACCTAAAGGAATGATTAGCATCCGACAGTCTGGAGCCAAATGAGCCAGCAGATTCAACAACTCTATTTTTTTGCTGCAACATCCAAATCTTTCCTCATCTTTGAAGATCAGCTGTTGCCAGCTGAGCTGGCGCAGCAGCTTTTTCTTTTTCAGCTTGAAAATGTGCTGCCACAGCTGCGAAAATCCAACCCTGCGCGCGGTCCGAATCGAGGCCTTTCTCCAGGCAATTTTTTTTGTACAGGCAAATTTGGCAGCTGTTCAGCTAAGCTCAGCTAAATGCCATACATGGATTCCTGCATCTTCATGACCCTGTCAGCTAGGTCCTCCAGGCGGGACAATCACCCAGCTGACGAATTCGGAATAGCTCATCCCCTCCCCACGCAGCAGGCACGGCACATTTCTTGTTGGCGGTGGAGCCAGATTTCGGCTTGGCCGCGCGGGTTCGGTGCTTGTTGGGAGATGTTGCTGTAGAAGAAACATCAAACGATGGGAAGCAGCTGGCAGTTGCAAGTGCAACTTAGAAAAATGATCTAGAGATGTCTAGCTGATTTGATTTTTGGGAGATGTTGAGAAAATCAGGTGATTTTCAGGTCTGTTCAGACCAAGCTCTGCTACCTTTGTAGAGAGCTTGCTTCCTCATTGGCCTTGGTGACAAGGCTTATGGCGACTCACAAAATGGGGCTTTCATTGGACCAAAAACTACCCCAAACGGTGTCATCGTGGCTGTGGCTGGCTAGAAAATTCCCCAACGATTCAAAAAATATTAGGGGCTTGTCGTGACGTTATTAGATTCCCTGACCCTAGTGGTGGTTAAATCCAACGAAATGGAGCTTTATAGCTGGGAAAGCCATCTATAAACAGGCAATTTTCTCCAAAAGAAAGTATGTAAAAGTTGGCAACATCCCTGGTTCCAGGGCCGACCCATACCCCAGTGAGGCTCAAGTCATTACCCCTTCCAGGCAGCCCTGGTAGGACCCCAGCCCCATGTGGACTCACTCATGGCCTGCGATCCATCTGGTCACAACCACAATCACCAAGCTTTAGCACCAAGAACTTTGTTTTAAAGTGTTCGCCAATCGCTATATAATATTATATATATATATCATATAATATATATATATATTCTATTATGAGAACAAAAAATAACGTCCTCAGTCGAATCCCGCTTCCAGAGACTTACAACATCTTACAACTATAGTAACTAAATGTAAATAATGTAACTAACCCTACGGAGACGGAACAACGTTCAGTGGAATCGCTGGCCACATGCGTACATCATTGAAGAACATCCGCGACGCCTTGTTTTGCAGGTCAAACGTCCATATGTTTGTTGGTAGAGACCCCGAGCGGTTGCTGACTAAATCTTCTGCTTTGTTGATGTAACATTTTAGAGTCTATGTTGTTAGATCAGTCCTCATCGTTAGTTCACATCCCACAGTTTTGCCGGTGAAAATGTGAATTTCCCCGCTCTAAACTCCCAAAGAGACAGGAAAAATGGCTGTATAATGTTATATAAACCATTCTTTCAGTATAACACTTATTTAAGATATAAACAAGTTAAATATAACAGGTAAATATAAACTATTTCTTGGATATTTTTTTCCCACGGCCGCAACTCAGTTTCCCAACTCCGGGCATTGGAACCCCGAGCAGCCTGGCGATCAGGCAAGCCGGATGGCTGTTGATTGTAGGGTTGTGCTTCAAAATGGGGAATCTGATTGAAGCCAAAATCAGGATCTAAGAGACAAAAAATGAGAAAAATATGGAATATTATGGAATAATGATCATTGGTGATGTACTGGGATAGAACCAACAATGAGAGATTTCACCAGCAGAAACCTCTATGATCCTGCAAGGTGATCAAAAGTTTATGGCGGAGATCAAGCGGTGGTTGGCAGGTGGATAACAGCCATGGTTGGCAGGTGGATAACATGCACGGACACTCAGACACTACTTGGTTGATCGAGCAACAAGCTACACGCTCGATCACTACATCAGCCTGTCACATCAACCATAATCAAACCTTTGAAGATGTGGATTTGTCTGAAAAATAGGGTAGTTCCCGATTCCAATAGATTGTCATAATTATCATTCATTTTCCCCATTCAAGTTGCCATAAATTGGCGATTATACCCCATTTTCAGACACATCCAAGTCAGCTTGTTGTTTGTATATCCAATTACATCCCCTTTATTTATAATCCCATGATGATTTCCATGATAGGGGGATGGGACAAAACCTAGATCATTACCATAATTAATATTTCCATATGACTGGGGGAATCAACGTCCATTAACCAGCTATGACTAGACGGGTACATCTACGGTACTGGACCGTAGCGTGCCTGGTATAGACTTTCCAGGTGCTTCTCGATGTCCGCGTTGAGCTTGGCTACATAGTCCTCCGGCGCCATGGTGGACGATGGGTTTGAAATGGCTATTGATCTATTATGGCAACATATGGCAAGCACATGGTAACCATTCATCTACTATTCATCAGCTAGCATTTATTTCAGCAAGGTGATTTTCCGGAAAACTCAGATGGCTGGCTGGAAATCATGTACCCTCTGGTAAACTAACATAGCTACCATTTTTAATGGGAAAATCCACTATAAATGGCCATTTTCAATAGCCATGTTAAATTACCAGAGGGTATCCCAAAGATGGTTCATCGTCGGTTTCGCGATGTTTTTTTCATGGCCATAAATATCAAAAATTCACAAAAATCCCAGATGCTTCGTCAATAAAAAGCCAAAAAAAATCCAGCAGCGGGACAGAAACTCACCAGCTGGATGCTGCATCTTCCATGGTGATTTTCGCAGGCATCCAGCCCTGGCCGCCTCGTAGTAGATGCGACTGGAATCAGAGCTGTCCTTGTCCTTGGCGTACCTGGTGCAGAACATCCGTAGAGAACGACCACCTTCCACTTGTAACTGGCATCCAGTCTGGGGAATTTATACAAGTTCAGTGACAAAAAGTTGGATTTAGCTGGAGATTTTCTTCGAAAAAACTGGAGTTTTCACATCAACAACAGTGATTACAAGAGTGATTACCATTGGTTGAAGTCCCCAGAACTCTGGTCAACTGCTGCCCAGAACTGGGGTTGTGAGCAACCCAGTAGAGGACCTGGAAAAAATTGCGCAGCTGAGGAGAGATTCTAAAGTCTTGCCAATTTGGCCACAGGCATAACATTTCAGCGTCTGCCATCATTCTAATGTTGGTCTCAGAGCAGTTGGTTCATCTCCCTCAACCACCGCAGTTGTGCGAAAGATCTACAGCCAGTTTTCAGCTGTCCCCACGACTTGAGGTCACTCCAAGAAATCGGAGGTTTCTCTTTCCTTGAAGAAGTCACTGGCCTCACAGCGAGGCTAAATTCACACGCCTTCGAAATAACAAGAACACCAAGCAGAAAGAATCTGGTATGGCTTTGGGCCGTTGTTGTCTTTGGAGATGTCCGAAAAGACTGACCTGTCCAAATCCAGTCACTACGAATAGCTCTCACTGAAAATGCCTGTGATTTGTGTCCAAATCTGTACAATTTTGACCATTCCTCTAATCTACTCGCCGCCAGACCATCAACCACCCGTGGGCACCTTGCCACCCTTGGTAGACAACCATTCATGCATCAAGTTGGAGTCGATATAGCCATGACCTTGAGGGTCTAATACCTCAAGATTGGTGAGGATCAACAGATTCAACAAACTAAAAATATCTAAAAATCAACACCACATGGGATGTAGTTTAATACCCGCTAGAAAATCGGCAAATCTCTGAAAGCAGGCAGTGAACTAGGCATCCAAGGCATCCAAGGCACTCGAAATGCTGCAAGCAGCGTCTCCGAATCATCAGGGTCATAGGTGTGGTCACTAAGGCACCTGCGTTCTACAAAAGCTTGAAGTTCTGCTTGGATCCAGGAATCACATGTTATGGATTTGAAATATGTATAAATATGTTTTTTGAATCACTCTCAGGTTATTTAACATAGCTTTGGAAAATGGACCTGTTTATAAATCATTTAATCATTTATGATATGAGTTATATTTCATATACTATGATTTACCTATGGAATAACCAGGGGTAAGTTCTACTGGTGAAATCTGGTTGTTTCCCCAGAGGCTTGCCGCACCTCAGCATGAGCCTCTCGAAGGCTTCGAAAGACACCATGCCATCTTTCCTGGCACCCCAAGCGGTGAGCTAGCTGAGCTAACCACCCGGGTGAGCAAGCCACCAAAAATGCCAAAAAATGCCCCAAAATGGTCCACCTGAACATGTCTGTACTTAAGAATATGTTTGAATACTGGCTACTTGCTCAACTTTTAGAGTGAAAATTGATGACAAATGTTGTCTTGGCATTTCCTGATATGGCCGCGTCGCATGTTTCCTGAACGAAAGTGGCGTATGTGTTTGTCTCATCATCGGCCTCTAACACACCCGCGGTAACGTGTCTACATTGGAAGTAGTTCAACGGGGGGAAAGCAAAATCCAGAAGTGAGAATGCTGATGGATATTGATGGTATATACATATATATACTACCTATATACCTATATATCCGTGAGCTTCCAACTTCATCAACCTCATGAACCACCAACAATCAGTGCGTCTCTGCAAACTCAGCGACGAGGGATCTTCTTCCAGAAGTTCTGGGATGATGGTCTCTTTCAGATCGGACCTCAGTGGGGTCATGCGGGGTCCCATCTGGCCCAAGAAACTTGGTGCACTGGGAGATATGGTCAGAGGGTCCGCAAACAGGAAGAGACCCTGCACAACTTTGGCTTTGGGGGTTATGAAATTGCCAAGTCACCAGCAATTAAGTTGGATATGTTGGATTTTGCGGGATTCCACCCCAAAGTTTGCACATCTTCGATGTAAAAATGGCTGCAGCGGCCAACCCCGAGGCGTGAGCTCGCTGGGAAACTGCCCCAGATATCGCATCACCACTCCCACCTGCGGAAAGTCACAGCACTGGGAGGATCTGATCCTCAGAAACTGCTTGGTGCTTGGTCTTCCCGGAGAATGGGATCAGCCCAGGTCGCAAAGATGCAAAGTGGGATTAATAACAGGCAACAATCACCTGGGCGATCAGTTGCAACTGGCTTTACAACCTCATTGAACTGGTACTTGTAGATACTGCACCATGGGGTATATCTTATATAACTATATATATATATACAATTATATACAGATATACAACCTCAGCTTCTCATAATTCACTGACCGCACGTTGAAATTTTGCGGGTCATCTTCAAGCTTTTTCTGGCCTCGTCTTGCTCGATGACCCATTTCCTCAGTGATCAATCCGGGAGGTGTTCTAAGGTTCGAAGGCAAGGGACCCCCTAAGGTTCTCCGAAATGATTGTGATCCCAAAGGCTCGACTATGGCGCCTCACATGAACCTCAAATGGATTGGGCACTTGCCTCTTGTGATATCTGAAAAAACTGGGCATATTGTGTCGCTCAGACACTACTGAAGAGAACATGGCGACCCATTTTTGGAGATGACCAGAACCAGAAATCAGCCAGGAAAACTAAGCCAGGCGGCTGCTGCTTGTCAAAACAGCTGAAGGCATCTTTGATGACCTAAATAGCTCCGGATCTCTGGGCACCCTTTTTAAATTGGCCCCTTTTGGGGCCATTGAACGTGGGAAATGAGCGCATCGAAATCAGGGGATTTGGGGTTCCCATGGGTTCCCAAGTTTGAGATAAGAGCAACGAATGGGTGAAAATCAAGGACTGCTTTGGGTTGAATCACAAGCATCAGAAGATTTTATCAAAAGGTAGTGAAAGTCTACTCATTCTAATCATCGTGATAAAATTCAAAGTCATCTGAGACCATCATTGCAGGATGGAACGTCAGCTTTGAGACCAGAAGCCAGTCAGACTCTGCGGCACCAATCTATGGCACAGTCTTTTTATTCGAGGCACTTAACCATCCAAACTTGGGGCTTTCCACAACTGATTGGCGGGGGTTGCAACCCATCCCGGCAATATGAGGCAATTCTGTGGGTGGATTCTACCATCCAAACTCAGACGGTTCAGTATTAAAACCCCCCGAACAATGTTTTGGTAAGTCAAATATAGTCAAATCCACCTCGGTAAGTCAAGTTATTCACTCAATTCCCCCAACCAGTCCCTCTTCGAAGATGTCTCAAATAAAAATCATGTTCCCTTTTTTTTAAAGGCCATAAAATTCTGAATCCCATTTCGGGACAAAGCCATATATCTACTATGCATTCGTGGTTTTTCCCTGATTTTGATTGCTGTTTCGGCCATCAATTGCCTCATCAAAATCCCAGTGGTTGGTTCACCATTTTCCATTGGAAATAGCCTCTGGTACTCAAACGTGGCTGGGAAATCCCCTAAAAATCCAGGCTCTTTGATGAGAAAGTCATCTCTAAATGATGGGATTTTCCAGCCAGCCACCTCTGAAAAAACGGAAGGGTTTTTCTGCTTCCAAAGCCAGCGCACCTTTTGAAGCTTCTTCAATCGGCTCTGGCCATCCTTCTCTTGTGAGGCCATCAGCCTACATCCCGTTGCGGGAAGCGCGGCTGGGGAGAACAAGGGCTTACTAAGGGCATGACAACCATTGGGTAACCATTAACAACCACGATGAATCTCTGACCTGGGGATAGACCCTTCCACATGCTTCCGCCAGAATGGGCCAGCCTCTCGGCACGCGGAACTCGTCGCGGACGAGTTCACTTCGCGTCACTCTGCTGGGGCCCAAAGTGCAGCGGAATGAAATGGGAACTTCTCTGGTCCATGTAATTACACTGCATACATCTCTGGGTCGCCAACGTAATGATAGACTTGATCAAAAGCATCTACCATCATGATCCACTATGTATCTATATCCGATTGCTGTGACTTCCAAGATTTTGACCCCTTTTGCTATTTTTGCTTATCTGCCAGCTGGAAGTCCTAAGATCGATGCCACATTTGAGTCACGCAACAGTTTGCAGAGTTCCAGGTTCCAGTCCTTGTCGCCGACATCGGTTGGCTTCACCGACGCAACCTTATCCAGGCCCAACTGAAAGTACCTTCCCAGCTGCCGCTGGCGGGGGCGACGCATGCGTAGTTCAGGTAGTCACCAGGGGATGCGGAAATCCATGCAGATCGAATTAGAAAAAAATTAGAAAAAACATGTGAAGAACTGAGAAAGATTCCATTTGGAATTGGGAAACCCATCCAAAGTTTCCCAACAAAAGGGACAAACATGTCCCTTTGGTCGCAACCCCTATTGACATATCAGGGCACGAAGCCACACCCAAAATCAGGATGGCCACAATCGCTAAGAGATACCTGGGAGCTGACCAGCGTCGGGCCAAGTATGTCTCAGTCACCGCTCGGTGACTCGATGGCTTGTCTTGCTGTACTGTTCTTGTGAGTCATATCTCATCACTGATACTGTTGCTTGTCTGGCTATGTCTGGCTCGACTCCGCATTTTTTTGTGTAGCAAAAAAATGCCCCAATCTTTGAGTCAAGCTCACTACATTGCCTCAGCGCCACACGGATTGCCGAAGCCTGCTGAGATTGGAGTCTCCTCAGTTCTATGCAAGGTCAAACTTCAAGCCCCACCAAATTTTCTCATATTTTCTCATGGTTGGTTGAAAATCATGCCTCCAAAAAAATCCGGGTGCCTGATCTTGATCCACTACAGTTCACAGGTAAGCCACAAAATACCATGCCATGCCAAAAATTTATGCACTTCCATCCCAAGCACCTCGTCTCCCAGCGATTTGGCCTTCCGTTGCAGGGGAGAGTCAAACCCATCAGCAAAAAAATGGAAGGTTTGTCACAAAACACAGCAAGACAAACATGGCGGAGACCATGCATACTTTGGAAGTACTTCGACTTTGACAGCAGGACAATCATCAAGTGAAATCAGTCAGCCGGATTTTGAAGCAGCCATTGATGCAAGTAGGGGCTATCAGGCTATATAATGATTACGACGATGCTTCATTGGGAGCCCTGCCTCAAATCCAGTTAAGTCAGAGGCGAACCCACAGCTATGAGTAGGTACAGCCATGATGTCTTCATATCTGGCACATCACCATTGATTGCGGCTCAAATCCCCTGTTTGTTGATTGAATCACCGTATTTTTGTATGTTTGTCAAATCCCAAAAATGGCTCAGGGGCCGTGTCTCTGCAATCAGCCCTCTCAGCCTCCTCCATGAGTTTGCTTCGCATGCCCGCTTGGATTCGCTCACCCCGTTGACGCGGGGGAGGAACATCCTCATAGCCTGCAGAAATCTCCAGTTCACTTTTTTTGGCGGATCTGGATCTGGAAAGATGCAGATTCCATATTTCCATATATTTCCAATCCAAATCTGGGGTTTTGTTGGATATGGCTCAAGTGCTGGCTTTCGGGCTGCGGGACAGTCATCCCCCTGGCACCTGGTTCTTCGTCGGCAGCTTGCAGTGCCGTCAGTCTGCACATCCCAAGACATGGGAATTCAGATGAATTCGCAGTGAAAATGATCATTATGTTAGAATATGTTAGATGTCCATTAGTATCCCATCTTTCGATCATTTTAAGGTCAAGGGATAGAATAGTGAAATAGTGAAGGCTATCTTGATCATAAGAATTCTTTGCCCACAACCCCAGCAGCACCTAAAAAGGCATTGTATATCGTGGATTTATGTGGATTTGAGAACCCTCCAGCAACAGCCAAGCCTCCCTCTCTGGCTCTGGACAGATTGGAAAGCCTCAAGTTGGCTGCAAAAAAAAACATGACTCCCAGCAACCAAGAATACAGGGTTGAGTGAAGCTAGGATGTCGTCCCCCCCAACAATGAATGTACTAAACTAGACATATCAAACATACTAAACCAACTTAGCTAACGTTGACTGGGGATCCCAGGTATTTTTTGTCCATCCTTTCTTCGCATTGCCAGTGGGGGACATCCCAGCCCCATGTGCACAAGCTGCGCCTGTTCTCGGCTCGCCAGGAGCACGGCAAAGAGGACGGCACATCCAAAGACCTCCATGGCGTCAGAAAAAGGTGGAGAATTCTCCACCCATCTTTGGTAAAGGACTTTCCGGTGTTGGATTACTAGAATCCCCAATATATATCAATATATTAGGTAGATTTGGGTAGTATAATCCCCGAACTAATCATCAACATCAACCAACAGGGGTTTTGAACACTGCTCAAACGTACAAAACTGTACTGAGTTCATCAGAGTTCCAGGCCCGTCTCGTTCTCGCTGGCATGGCACCTCCGATGGCACCACTGGGTAGCAACGAGTGGCTTCAGTGGCTGAGACGGCTTCAGGGGTCAAGGCGCCTCCAAACGGAGCCTCTTTCAAACGGCCAGCTTGACCGAGCTTGACTTTTAACGCTGCGAAATCTGACCAATCTGTGTATGTTCAAGCAGTTTAAGGAAATGCTGGAAATATCATGAAATACCCCATCGTATCCATTGTCACTGATTGACTTAGAGATCAAAAGCATGCGAAACATATAAGAAAAATCACAGGTCAAAGGAATGTTGGGTGCAGGCTACTGATGCTGTTTATTCATGCAACGTTTATGCATTATTCCAACTAACATCATCATATCCTGGCATGTGACACTCCCACCCTTTTGAGCCACACTTCATGGCCCTTCAAGCTGCACTGGGCCAACCTGGTGTCACCGTGGCAGCAGGCCCAATGGGGAGAGCAGCCATGGTAGGAGGGTTCCCTTTTCCGGTGGCAAAAAAAACTGTGGAAAAAAAAAAAAAACAGCACCACTGCGTCACTGTCTCATCGTATGCTCTTCAGACACCAAACCAATAGGAAGCACCAACTCCACAGAACGCAGAAAGCTTTTGGACCTCCTTTGAGTAATGTCGGACACTTTTAAGGGTCCATATCTGGGTACGGTCCTGTACAAGCCACCCAGACGTCCCACAAAATTTGCCAAACCACCATCAACTTGCTGACATGTTTCACATGTTCTTCATGGATCTTTGTGCACTTTGGTCCAACTAGCTTGGGCTTTGAGACCTCCACCAGTTCCCCAACAAAAGATGGTCGCAAAGACTCAGCCTACAATGTGTTTATCCTTGGATCTGCAGTGGCTGGGGTCCCTTCGGATGTTGGAAGATCTTCACCGGATCTCCAGCCTTCACCGTGCCAGGTCTCAGCACCTTTGCCAAGACCCGCGACTTCTCCGGAAACTTCTTGGGGTCGATGCGTCCCTTGTCCCCTGGGGCACTGAAGTAGCGATCCAGCTGCTTGCAGGGACCCTTCAGAAGGGTCACCTCCAGTAGCACGGAAGTTCCCAACAACACATGGACACCGGTCTTCATCACGCTCCAATCCACACCACTGAGGGTGAATTGTTCACCACTGGCGCCATAGAAAAACTCGGCTGGACCGCCCCCTGCTGCATCTGCATTGACCGCAGCGATGACTTCTGAACTCCACAGCATCACTGCTTTGTTGAAGCCAGCGTGACCGCCCCAGATTGCGATGTAGGGCGCTGACTGGGAATCACCAAGAAGTCCTAGAGGCGTCACCAAAGCTTCCTGGACTCGTTTTTTGGGAATACCTCTACCAATATTCACACTGACACATGAACCGCAAGCCAGTAGTTGCCTGTCAGCTAGAGCAGTCAGGGGCTGAGCTGCAGATCTATCCCTTAGGGATGGAAGGAGACTGAGAGTGCGGTAAGTGAAGGTATAGAACCACATCAGGCTCCATCTTAGCCAGGGGAAGACTGCATTGACCCATCCGCGTGGTACCCAGGGGAAGGGGTTCTTGTTCGGCATGGCGGCTACTTACACGATCCGCTTGAGCCCAGGGCTATGACCAGCACCTCTCAGTTGGATGTGATCCTGGATGGCAACATGAACAGAATGCCACCTGATTGTCACCTGATATCTGAACGTACCTCAACGTACCTGAACACCTTATCCCAACCCCAACCCCCCCCATTCTTCCATTCTTCCCACAGCGCCTCGGCTGTCCGGCCCAGTCATTTCTTGGTGGCTTTAGCCAACTTCAACAGCTCATCCATGGAGGCGGCCTGCAGTGCCATCCCAAGCAGATTTGGGGGGATCCATGGACAGGTTCCAGATTGGTTTATTTGGGTAGTCATTACCCACTTAGTAAGTGGCAAATAACTGTCTAATCATCATGTAGAATCATCCACTATCACCCAATATGTGGGACACACACACACACATGGATATGATATACCCTACCTATTCACCTGAGCTATGATCAGCACGGCCACGACTGGGTCCTTTTGACACAGCCCGCCTTCCACTCACCTTCGCCACCTCTGGGTGCCACGTAGACGAGGTTCTTATCCAACTGGATAGTGGCCGCTCCAAGCTGGTAGACATGCTTGCCATTGCGTTGCTGTTTCCTTAGATCAATGACCTCCGACAAATTCAACCAGTCGTATGTGATAGGTCAGAGTGAACCAGTGACAAGCCTCACGGTGCTCATGGGAACGCAAAGCCTATCGTTTTGCTTGTAGGAAGGGCCGGAAAGATCCATCGCAAGTGCTTCATGGAGAAACCGGACCCAATGATCAGGCATCCCGGCACCTAGTTTCCCAACAAGTTGAGAAGGTTTCACCCTCAAGATCCAAGATGCTTGGGCAGGAAGATGAGCCCCTCTTCTGCTGCAACTTGGGTGACATAGTCGCTCAAGCTCAAGCTCACCTAAGAGGCTCCAGACATGGTACACCGGTATACCATCCAACCGATTAGTGCTCAACCATCCGTCTTCTGAATGACTTTCCTTGATGTGAATCCATCCCGATGTTGGTGTGTGAAACTGGCTTGAACTCCTCCAACTCTGTTGTTTTCGCCATGGGATAAAGGGAAACCCATGGGCCTACGGGTGTCCCTGTGTTCCTCCAAAATATTCACCTTCCGGGTTCAAAGTGTCACCAATCCAAGAGTGAAAAAGTGACCTCAAACCAGGGGACAAAGGGAGGTCACTTTGAATGGTATGTGTTTCCCATGTGTTTCCATAGGTTTTCCCAGGCCTCTTCCACTGGCAACCTGCTGTTCGCTGTTGCCTTCTCTGCCCCGGCCCTTGTTGGCTCCTCGGGGCCAAGAGCCTCGCCGCCGGCCATGACGTGCTTCATCACCTGGCAAAACCGGGGAAAGGTCGTAATTTATAGGAAAAATCTGGGAAAAACTTGTGATTTTTGATGGAAATTCCAGAATTGGTTGCATGATTTTTAAGGGACAAAAATGCTAAGATATTCAGCTCGATAGTTGAGTCCAGTCTGCTCTCCTGCGGTGTAGACTGCGGAATTTACGCAGTTTTGACACCAAACTTAGTGATGCGGACGTCGTCCTTCAATATTGTCAAAATCGAGTACCCCTCTGAAGTTGAATACAATTGGAAGATTATACTAGGTAATTAGCCAAATCGATCCAAACTTTGTGCGGTGTCCACCCCCATTTGTGATCTCAGAATCGTGTTTGCTTTGACACAGAATAAGATCTATGCAACAAAAACAGTGGTTTTCCATTGGTTGCCATGACGTGCTTTCCATTTTCCCCAGCAAATTTGTCCAATGTTTTTACCATGAAACAATTGAAAACATCCTAGAAGCATCTAAAAAATAATGTAATGTCCCTGGATTAATAAACTCCTGGGCTGTTTAATTGGGAGGCTACCATTTAAGTATCAGATTATGACTCTTGGAGGAGTACCCCCCTAACTAATACCCTCTGGTAATTTGTTACATAGCTATTGAAAATGGCCATTTATATTGGATTTTCCCATTAAAAATTGTGATTTTCCATAGTTTTTTGTATGTTTACCAGAGGGTAAACCATGGTTAGGCCACACATCTCCAGGCACCTCAAGGCCATGCGCCAAATGCCGCTGCACCACCAGCTGCTCCCGCAGCTCTGGAGGGAACAGGGCCTTCCAACCCTGGTACCACTGCAGGACCTCCGTAAAGTTGCAGCCTTCCTGGGAGGAAGTTTCACTGACCCAAAAAACATGGCAGGTTATGTCCAGCCAAATATGTATATATATATGTATATAATATAAATATAGCATAATATAACATAACATAACATAACATAATATGCAAAATAATGTAATATAATACAATATATAATATAATATAATACAATACAATATAATATAATATGATATGATATAATATAATAATATAATATAATATAATAATATAATATAATATAATATAATATAATAAGATATAATAAGATATAAGATATAATAAGATATAATATATAATAAGATATAATAAGATATAAGATATAAGATCTAATATAGTAATAGATATAATTAGATATATAATATATAGAGATAGATATGTCAAGTGCGTTTGGGTCAAGTTACATGGGCTTTATGGTGTGTGGTCATCCATCAAATGCCAATCCAAACAGAATGGCTATATAAAACCCTATGAAAATGCATTGATGACCATCCCCCAATATGAGAAAGCAACCCGTGATTTGACCATGGCACATATGATTTTGCCTGCTTTTTCTTCTGGGGATGTCACCAAGACATAACTTGATATCACCAAGGAAAACAGGGAGGTTACTAGATCATCAATCAAAAGAATAGGATTGACCAAAGAACGACACTTGAAATCATCATGTTTCCATCCATCCCAGAATTTTACCCTCTGGTAATTTGTTACATAGCTATTGAAAATGGCCATTTATAGTGGATTTTCCCATTAAAAATGGTGATTTTCCATAGTTTTTTGTATGTTTACCAGAGGGTACCAGCATCCCATTGGATCCCCTCCCCCTGCCAGGCTTCAGTTCTCAGCCAGCGCTTCAGGGCACCGTGCCACTGCGGGAAGAGGGCGGTCTCCAGGACTCGCGCCACATTCTCCAGCGGTGCCAGATCCAGCCAGCGAAGGAGGCTCTTGACGGCCGTGAGGTCCTGGTTCGGAGGTTCGGGGGGCTTGGTGGGGTGGTTGGGGTTGATGGATTTTTTCGTGAAGCTGAGATGTTGATCAGATTTTGGGCAGATCCATGCAGATCCTCGAGTTTTTCTGGCAGTTGTTATTTTTAAATCTGGCAGGTAACATTTCGGATCTCAAAGTCGAGCGTTTGGAAGGCCCTCCCAAGGCCCCAGGGCCCCAGCTCCTGACCATCGGGTTTGATGGGCGTCTCCTGCAAGGAGCGTTCCAGTCGCCCCAGAACCTTCTCGATGAGCGGATCCCAATTGGCGGGATCAAAGACCTGGTACTATCGCTATGGCCGCTATGGGCCATGTGGAAATCTCACCAGCTCGTTCGTTTCATAGTTTTTTTTTTAGATCTTGGTCCCTTGAAAATTTACGAAATGGAACCGCAAATGGCAATTTACAGTACCTGTAGACAATCTCTTTCTACGACTTTCACATGTTGTGATTTTGTTGCGTGACGAGCTGCCCTTTCTATCCTCTTGGTGACATAAATCGCATCAGTTGCGAGCCCAATGATAAAGTCATGTACTTTTCCCATCTTTTACCGCAGTTCTTTCCCATTTTGGGTTTGTCAAGGTTTCTTTGAGGTTTACCATCTGAATGGCATTGAACGGCAGCTTTGCGGCCCGGTTCCCATCCCAATCTCCAGCTTCATGTGGCCTGTTGCCAGGGTTTTAGAAGACCATGAGCCGAAGGGTCACTGGGATCCCACTTTTCCAAGCAACTGGAGATCTTGAACCTGCCAGGATGAGATGGTAGATTTGGTGAAACCCCGAAAGGTGGATTTTTGGGGCTGACAACTTACAGGAAACATCAGGAAACCATGGTTGATAACCATCAAATCTTGGGTGGTTCCTGGAAATGTTCACTTCCTTGGGATGGTTGGACGGGTGACCTTAATGAACAGGGTGTCAGTGCTCTTGCTGTGAATAGTTTCAATCAAACACGTTTGAGCTTGTTTGCAATGTATACATTTCATGCTTACTTGCTTCTCAAAGCCTTGCACAAAAAAGAATGCTGGTATCTATACTTCGACAAGGGGGACTATTGTTTTGATCTGCTTTGAAGTGTCTAGGTGCGCCCTGAATCTTGTCAATCCTGCTTCCATGGGTTGCAATTGCTTGCCAAGGATTTTGATGGAGAGTCTTTGAAGTACCTTTAACATTGCTGGCTGTCTAGATTAGCTTCGTTCACAACAGCTCTTCTGCCGTGCTAGTGTACAGAAACACAACAAGCACCGGGGCGAACCTGATAGGCGTCCAAAGCATCTCCATCTTCCGTCCCAACAAGGGCAGCCATGGATGCAACCACAAATGCGCTGATCTCTGATCGATGCGCGGATCCCAGACTTCAATCTCAGATCTTAATCTGGGGAGCACCACCTGGGTCTGAAAAAGTAAGGGAAAAAAACCGTTCATCCTATGCGAAAACAATTTTCCTGTTGAAATATGCGTGTACGTATAATATATATATATACACACACACACACTAATATAAAATTAACCATTTTTGGGTATCACTGGTATCACTCCCAAGGTTCGGTTGCTAAAACTAGTTCCCCCATCTTAAAATGTCCAAAAAAAGGCGGTTAAAAGGCTCCTCATATCCCCCATGTTTGAAGCCCCACCTCTGCCACCAGGGAATCTGCCACCTCCGTCCGCAGCAGCCGCTGGCAGGTTTCCATCAATCGAATGCAGGGCTCGAAATCCCTGGGGGCCCAGGCAACCAGCGCCTTGCGGAGCTGGGGAATCAACGAGGCATCCAGCAGAGCCGAAAAGCGCTCCTTGTCGCCCAAGTCTTGCCTGCGCGCAACGCGGTGAGTGGTGGAGCTGAATCACTAAAGCATCTTAAAACCATGAAGGATTATCATTCCAAAAAATGCGGATGGAAGGAATATGGAAAGTCAAAAAATCCACTCTGAACCCCCTGGAACTCAGCCAACTTGCCATTTGGCCATGGCTTTCAGCACCAGCTCCGGGGCTTTGAAGGGTTGCCAGGTGGACAGTTCCCGCTTGGCCGTGGGTAGGGCCAAGGCGAAGGCGACGTCGATGGCTTGCAACAAATGAAACTCTTTGGGTCGCGATCTTTCCTCCAGATGATAGGGATCTAACACCAACCATTTTTGGGATGGGGATATATATATATGTACATTGATATAGATATAGATACAGATATAGACAGAGATATAGAATGATATAGATATGTATTCATGGGTCGTACTTAGAGGTGCGAGACCCAATTCGTAAGTGAAAAGTCACTGGAAGATCCATGGAGAGTGGGGCATCTGGTGCATTTTAGGACGACTACCCTCTGGTAATTTAACGTAGCTATTGAAAATGGCCATTTATAGTGGATTTTCCCATTAAAAATGGTGATTTTCCATAGTTATGTTAAATTACCAGAGGGTATTGGGATTATTGGGATGAAAATTGGGATGGGAACTTGGGGCTGCAGAACCCAAGGGCTGTATGACTGGGGCATCTAAGTCGTGGAGCACTGCGCCGATGGGAACTGGGACTTGGAGGGAACTGGGTCATCTGTGCAAATGGCTCAAAGTTCTACGTGTTCACAACATTCTGAAACATAACTTCAAGAGACTACAGGCCTTTCTTGTCAGATCCCAAGTCTTATCCACATCCGTGTTTCTTATGTTTCCGTTGAGCTCTATCCTGCCTAGCATTGGTCATCTTCATCGTACCCCCTCCAACTGATCTCACACCAAGCAGCTAAGCGGTGAAAGGTCTCGGCCAGTTCGCTCAAGCCGATGCTTCCTTCATCCTGTCGTTCCCTCAAAGACTCCATTTCCACCACCAACTCCTAAAGGGCTTGATGAAAACCATGCTGAACTAGAAATGTTGCGTGGTAAACCCATATAAACCCCACTTCTTGAGATGTATGAAACCCTTAAATTGGACGGTTAATTCCTGCTATTTGCATGGCCACATTACTACAGCCGTCCCCTTGAAAGGGCCCCATTACCTGCGAGCTGATTTTTCAGACCTTATGGGCTCGGTGGTTTAACAATGTTTCACCATCCCTGCAAGTTCTGCCCATTGAATCCAAACACTGCTTGGTGGTTATTATGATGGTTATATGCCCAATTAATGGTTATTATGATGGTTAATGATGGTTAATAACTATATCTGGTTGGTGGTTGAGCTACCCCTCTGAAAAATATGAAAGTCAAATGGGATGATGACATTCCCAATATGATGGGAAAAATAATCAAAATGTTCCAAACCACCAATCAGAACATCCTGCCCACTGCAACATCTCATTTTGGCTGCTTTTCAGGCAAAGCCACTTGGAAAATATGCTCATGGATTGGGGATCGTCATCTATGTTTGGGAGGATGACAAGTAACAACAAATACAACAAACATCTTTAAAACATGTCAAAACCGCCCATCACTTTGTTCTATCATCCCAATTTGCAGCAACTTGACAACCCTCCTTCAATTTCTGCTCAACCTCCCATCCCCAAATGCGAAGTTCCACCCTCTCCTTGCAGCCTTTCACATCAGCTTCACTGATGTTATCTGCCGCCTGGAGCCTCTCCTGCTCCTTGGCGGCCGAAAGGATGACGTTCTCGCAGTGCCTCTTGCGCTCCGCTGCCAATCGCACCTTGTCCTCGTAGCGCGACACCAAGAGACGTGTGTTGTGGCGAAACTCCTTGAGGCTTCGCACGGAATCACCTGGAATCAATGGCTGGGGATGTCGACGACTAGGCATCCAATCCTCCAATCTTTGGGTGTAAATAAATTTGGACCCAACCCACATCTGGCAGATGCAAACTTGCGCTCATCACCACTCAAAAAAAAATGGTTCATCAAAGTTACATATTGCAAGATATTAAAAACATATTAAAAACATGTTTAAATGTGTTTAATACGTCAAGCCCAAAAATTTCTTGGTGCTTCCCTGATTTCACCTGACAGGTTGGCCGCCAGCTCAGCAAAGGAGGAGGCCACCTTGACCTCCGGGCCGCGCATGTCGACAATGCGCATGGCGGGCACCTCGCCTGCGGAAGCCATGTTTGCCGGAGGGTATTCGTATTTGTCGTAGTTCATCTTATCATGATTGTTATGTGATATGACTATTTGTGTTTGGAATGCGCTTACCAGTCTTGTTATCAAAATTGTTGTTAATCAAACTGTTCTAACTATTAGAGTAGTAGTTGTAGTAGTCGTTTTCGTCGTTTTCGTCGCAGTATTCTTCTTCTGATGAGGAGGAGACATGGAGATGGATCGAAATGGGTTCCTCGGAAGACTGGAAGGTTGACACTATGAAACGACAAACGCCTCAAATTGTAAACATCAGGCGGGCATGATGACAATGAGAGTAGTTCGAACAGTTCGAAACTGCTGCAAGGAACATTTTTGGCCATGGAAACCTCCTCTCACGTCTTTGAAAGGATGGAAAGGGTTTGCAGGAACTAGCCTGCATTCTCTTCTGCTGTCTTGTAGATGGTCTTCTGCTTCTTTGGCTTGCCATCCTGGGTTGGCAGATTTGGCTGCCTGTTCTATTTTATCCAACGCCAGCAGTCATAGGGGTGGAAGTGTTTAAGAAAAAAATGAAATGCATGTTCAAACAAAGAGGCCAAAAAGTAGCAAGGTCAACCAACCCGTCTTAGTTTTCATTCAACCTCAGAATTCTGGGGTTCGCCGCATCTCACAGATTCTCACAGCCTCACCTGTCTCAAACCATTTGTCACATGTTTAATTTGATCATTGGGTTGGCTGATAAAAATCCATGAAATCCTGACTTTTACCATGAAAAAAAACTGTGATCATGTGTGTATCGTGTATATAAATGTTCACTTCATCCATTTTTTTTGGCCTTGATCATCTTGTTCATCCCATGTTTCATTCAAAAGTTCATCCCGGATCATTCCATGGTCATCCACCTGGAGATAGGGCCCAAGAAATCACCGAGCTATACCGTGGGTACTTTGGGATGTCGGTCCCCGCTTCTGAACCGTGGGTGTTTTTGTCCACAGTCAGCTAAAGCATGGCATAATATTGCTCAAAAAAAATTAGTCACCCACTGAGTCCGGGGCTGTGTCATTATGGACCTCTGAGTTCATGCGAGATTATATTAGTCACCCACTGATTGTTGCTGTTCCGATTCACATACAAACCATGTCATTTCTGACTGGTATTTTCAAGACCAGTAAATTGTGGTCATCATGGCAGGTTGGAAGACCACAATCTCTTTGAAACCACGAACCAGAAAAATACCTCATACTCCTCTAGATTCGACAATTGTCCCCGGTAGATGGGGAGATACCCATGGGTGTGCCTGAAAATAGGGTGCCCTGTTCCATCCACTATTATATCAATAGTTTCAATGATCATGTTCCCTATTGGGTGGCAATAGTTTGTGGGGACCATACCCGATTTTCAGACGCGCTGAAGAATCATATTAGTAACCTATTAGTATATATATATATATATGTATATATATATATATATACAGTATATGTATCCATTTATTCCGCCTCTATTCCTATTATGTTCCCACTATATTCCCAGTAACCCTCTGGTAATTTAACAGTTTGCTATGGCAAATCACCACTGAAATTATAGGTATATCATCGAGCTCAATGGGCAATCTCCAGCAAGAACCAAAGGGTAGCCATGATAGTGTTCGTTACCTATATCCCCAGTATATTATATCCCTATTGTATCCCCAATAAACCAGGAACACCCCATGGTTCAGGCCGTGTCTCATTATATAATACCCTCCAACCCCCATGAAAAATATCCCATCAAACTCATCAAACCACCATTTTCAATGGTTAAGCCAACCGTTTCTATGTTCCCACTCTATTCTCATTTATTTATATTCTCAAATTCTCACTATATTCCCACTATATGGATCTATATGGAGGTTTCCTAAGTCATAGGGGGTACCCCAAATCATCCAAGTCATTAGAAGTATTGAAACCCATGGGAATGTGGGGATCCCCCACTTTAGGAAACCTCCACTAGTAACTAGTCACAGAAAGCCATCATGCCCAGTAGCTCTCTTCCATCCATCGCTGATTTTGGGTTCCGTGGACTTCTTCTCAGGTGCCCGGTCCATGGACAGCAGCTCCTCCACTGTACGTCGGCCACCTGACAGCCACGGATGGCTGGAACGTGGGGATCTGGAACGGATTTCCCAAAGATGGGAGTTGAAACATGGTAAACCAATGGAAAAATGAGGATGTTGGCCAAAAATCACTCAAAAAGTTGGAGACTTGGGATCATGTTCTTTCCTAAGCAAGGTGTGCGCGGCAAGTAGGATGAGACTATGAACCTGCGATTTGGGGATCCTCGGTCTGCGGACCCAGACAGAAACAGTGGCGTTGGCATGTGTGATGTTCCATGATATTCATCCGTCCAAGCCCCCCAAAAAAATATGCCATGCCATTCACCATCTTTCCAGTTTTCCCACCTTCATTTCCATAGAGGTCTTGATCCACCATCTCCCCATCATCTTGCAACGCACGCTTGCTCTGCCGCTTTTGCACCTCAATAGGATTCGCGATGCCGTCGTTGTGCTTTCCCAGCCCACCTCCAGTGAAGCCCATTTTCTGCAACATGGCAAAACCTTTGCCGTAGCTACTGGACATCTGGTTGAAGGACAACTTGTTGCGCGCAGGAAGCTTGGGTCCCTCCACGGCAGGCTTGAAGTTGCCATTGGGAACACTGGCATCGAGGACAAATCGGCTGTCCACATCGGAATCTGCATCATCAGCATCATCCTTCGCGTCTTTCTCTTCTTTCTCTTCCTTCGCTGGGGCCTGGGTCGCAGCTCGCGAAGCCAGTGCGATAGGACGGGCTATGGGATCCATCTGGAATCCTTGGACTCTTCCCGATAGATTTTTCCAGACTCCCAACCCTATATAAATTGACTAGATAGCAGCAGATAGCAGCATGACTTCATGACTGCAGCAATACTTCCCAAGCTACATCATCCAGGTTGGATCTTGATAGCTGGGGACTGGACGAACAACAACACCATTTTGTCCTGACCTTGATACAGCACGGTTTTCACAGGCATCTTTCCTCCAGTCTCCCCGCTTCGAATTATTCGGACATATCAGCATTCCTGAAAATCTTCATCTTCACTTCCACCAAAAAGTATATCAACGAACCAATTCCCATCAACCCCCAGCCACCCACCATTCACCATACCCCAACCCTTCAATCTCTTCGTTTCAAGTGGCTGGTACCGAGGTAGGCTGCAATGTTTGCCCCCGCACGAAGCTGATGCCCTTGGTCAAATCCCCTGTCGAAGCAGCGGTGCCCCGTGGCTTGCGCGAACGCAGCTCACCCTCTGCGAAGATGCCCAGGATGTTCCTTAGTGCAACCATGGCAGGCCGCGCCAAGATGACGGTTTTGGAGCTGCATATGTGTATGTATGTCTCATATGTATATATATACATATATATTATGTATATATAAATGATATATACGTGTCTATATATATAATTATAATATAATATATATATATATATCAAAATACATAGAAATATATATATATAATATATATGTACAAGTACTGTGAAACCAGCATCCTGGCAACCAAGCGCAAAAAAACAAAGATGAACGACGTCAATTGTCTCAGTTCAATTTGGAAGCTGGGCTTCTGATTGTTGGATTGCGATTAAATTGCGACCCCATTTTTGGTCCGGATCTGGCCTTTTTTTGGGGGGGTCGCAAAACACAAACAGGAGCTGCTCAATACGGACAGCAAGGACACATACGCTGGTACATGTGCTTCCGCCAATGCAAGCTGGCAGCCGCACATGTCCATGATACTGTATATATTATATATATATATTATATATATATATTATAATGCACAGTATATACAATGTATATACAATGTATATACGGAATATACCCATAGTTGCTCAATATTCGTAAGTAAAAAGAATTCGCTTAGACTTTGGAGCCGCTTTTGCGAGTGCGGAAACGGAGTCCATCTGATAGATTTGGTGGGATGGATCCAACACCCATAATCCGTCAAATTCCATCGTCTTGATCCAAAAAAAACAACAAAAAAACCTTGGGGTCGGAATAGACTCAATAGATTCAATAGATTCAATATTCACTATCATCATAGATTCAATAGATTCAATAGACCAATAGATTCAATAGACCAATATCTTGATTCAATAGACGATCACTATCACTTTCCAGCCATTCACCTAGCAAACTCACCGGCCCTTTGAGGGATCTCATGCCAAGCATCTCATCGGATCCTCGCCTGGATCGCTCCATCGCCTCAGATTCCAATGGCCATAGTCAATGGATAGGATATCAAGGAAAATCTAGAGGAAACCCATCGATTTTCCCATCAATTTTTTGGGGCGTTCCGGTTAAAATTTGAGGAAACCCATCGATTTTCCCATCAATTTAATATGGGGCTTTCCGGTTAAAATGTTCCCTTAAACCAATCCATTGACATAAATGATTGAAATTGGGGGAGCCACCCATTTCGCTTCTACAAAGATATCTTTAAAAAGTGTCTGGTGGAAATGGATTCAGCATCCTTCACTGACCACTGGGCTTCCCAGGCGAATGAAGTGCCATGGACTATGCACTGCAAGCGAATGACATGTCCAATCTTTCTGATTTTGCAAAGAATATGGGGACCATTTAAGGCAATTCTGGTTCTATCTTTTTTTGGTGGGCTCAGGGTGTCGTGCTCTGCGAAAGGATTTTGCTCTGCCGACTTGTCTGAATCCGCTTGAATCCTTCCCATTTCCGACCATGAACTCTGCTGATGCAGCCACAGACCCGTATCCGTGCAGTTTGAATTGGGTTGTAGGAGCTTCCCCAGCACTAAACATGTTGACATGAGCCGCTTGCAGGCTGGAAAAACAGAACAAAACTCGAGTTGTTCTGAAATTGACCACTGTATTCAGTATGGGTGTGTTGCATATCTTTCCCGTCCCCAAAAATCCAAAGATGGCACTACAAAACCCCGATGTTCTGAGTCCAGTGTGCCAAAAATGGGACAACCCTCGGCGGCATCGGCTTTTCTCACACGCTGGGAGGGACGTAGCCACCATGTCCGGGCTGCTCCAACAGACTTCGCTCGCCCTCCGGCAACTGATGGGATGTGGATAGCTGAGGATTCTGATTTTGGTAGGATTCGGCATGTAGAAATTTGGGTGTACAACCATCCACCAAACAGTGCTAGGGCCCCTAATCATCTTTGAACATCCCCATTGGTTCATTCATTCTTCGCCGATTCTGAATGAAAAAATGAAGTTATGAACCATGTTTTTCAACCAAGAACACCCCATAAAACCCAATCAAAGCCGATAAAATTAAAACCCAATCATTTTGTCAACTCCCCTTGGCTAAAACCCCTGGACCTCGTGCAAGTCGTATGCCATCTCAAGCTCCGGCAAACTTCGCGCCTCACCCTGGGTGCGGATGTGAGGTTTCGGTAGAGGGATCGACATGATTTCTACAAAATAGCATGAATGACTATGGAAGTGGCTACTTCTAGTTTTCACCATTGGATGATTGGGTGCGTTTCTAGGAAAAGTTGGCCGCACTTTGACCTTCCGAGTCTTTTAGCGGTTCCTGATGTTCCTGTTTTCCAAATGCATAAGATCCATTGCGAAACACCTGCCATGTGGAGTCCCTCCCTCCACGCAGCAGTTAAATACATCCAAATCCCCAAGAAAATCCGAGAAATCCCATGGTGCAATGGTTGTATCATCATTTTCTAGATACTGAGGCTATAGCCTCAGAAAATGAAAAACCATGCCACCCCCTCCTCGGCTATGTCCCACTTCACCGGACTTCACCGGACTTCACCGGACTTCACCTTGCTACGTCCTCGAGTGATCATCAACAGCACAATGATGAGGGCCTTAGGTGGTCATAGCGTCCTATCCTTCCTGGTTTTTGTTGATTCCCTTGCGAAGTTGGTTCCATTTTTCCAATTTATCACTTGTTCATGGGAAATATGGGAAACCCATCCCATATTTCAGTGACAAATCGAAGCGTCTAGCTGCAATGCATCCAGTCATCGGTGGATTAAATCTCCAGGTTCTTTTCCCAGGAAAATCCCTTGGTCTCTATAGCCCCTAGCTAATATTTCCCTTGAAATTGCTGGGATTGCATCAGCAACTGCAAAAAAAAAACACCAAAAACTCATCCATATGATCCAGAAACATTGGAATTTGACAAGAAATGGGCAGAAATTGCATCCCTCACGAACCATCTAGCCTGGAAGGCAAGTTTCAACGGGATGAGACCCCAAAACTAGCATCTCAATAGGGAAAATCCCTATGGGCAAAGCCAAAGGGGATTGTGTTTTTGGGACTTCCCATTGGCCATAGCCGCCATATCACCTCGCCCGAACCAGTGGACCAACCCGTTCTTGCAGCTGACTGAAACCATGTTGGATTCCTGGGGCCATGGACCTACCAGGGTATTCATCCCTTCCTCCGATAGAATACCGCTAGAATCCCTTGTTTCGCATTAGATCCATTAGAAAATATTAGATCCATTCATTCTTGGTGTTTCTTTTTGGAAGTAGTTGATATTGCAACCGCTGTACCGATTTCAGGATGGGGAACCCCCCCCTCTTCCCTAGGGGCCACACCACGATGGCCATCATGTAGGCCGGCGTGTGATCTGCTGTGCTGGACGACCTGCTATGTCAGCCAAATCTCCAAGTCCTCATTGTGTCACTATCGAGGAATCCATAGGAATCCGAAATGACGTGCTTCGAATTTCCCCTCTATGGTTATTGGCTAAATCCTCTATGGTTATAGTTGAGTAACCCCATAACATGATGATTTTAAACCATAGTTCTGTGAGTTTAACGCCCGTGCACTTCCCCATCTTTACGACCGCCTCAGCAGCGCAGGCACCACTTGCGTGGCTCTATAGCCTGCGACCTTGAAGCTCTGCCGGTTCACTGAAGAATTGGATGGTTTTCATCAACAAATCTAGGGATTTCACTAAGAAAAACTGGAGATTCAACCAAGAAAATTGAGGATTCAAACAACTACAAAAAAGGAGAGATAACCTCTGGTAATCGAACGCGGCTCGAAAACCACCATGTCTTTGCATTTGGAAAAACATCAACAAATGAGTGGGGATGTCCAAAACAATTTAAACAGTGACAATGGAACAAGTGATGTTGTTATACCCTTCAGTAAACTAACATAGCTATGGCAAACGGCCTCATTATAGATGATTACGTGGTTTATCTATCAAAAATGATGATTTTTCCATAGCTACGTCAGTTTACCAGAGGGTAGCCCACCATTGACCCTTAACGGTGCAGATCTGAGCGCCAAACAGCATAGATCTGCCCTTGAGGTAGGACCAGGGATGCTAAAACGTTGACCTCAAGGGTGACCCTTCGTAAAAAAAAATGCAAGGCAAATATGACATAAACATGCATAAACATACATGTCTATGTATGTACATATCTATCTATCTATCTATCTATCTATCTATTTATCTATCTATCTATCTATCTATCTATCTATCTACCGATCTACCGATCTATCTACCTACCCACCTATCTACCTATCTACCCATCTACATATCTACCTATCTAACCAACTATCGATCTATCGATCTATCTACCTATCTACCTATCTACCTATCTACCTATCTACCTATCTACCTATCTACCTATCTATCGATCTATCGATCTATCGATCTATCTATCTACCTATCTACCTATCTATCTATCTACCTATCTACCTTTCTACCTCTCTACCTATCTACCTATCTACCTATCTACCTATCTATCTACCTATCTACCGATCTATCTACCTACCCACCTATCTACCTACTTGAGAGGGAAGGGTGAAAGATCGAAAGGTAGGCGTGGGTTGGAACAGGAGAAGAGAGCAAGGGAACGAGGCATATCCGCTGCGGACGGACGTGGGTGGAGTTGGGGCGGATATCGAAAAAAGTCTTCTGGGCTTGGACTCGAGGGCGGGTACCAAAAAGGTAGGTTTCAGGGAGGGGGGACACGACACACACAGACACACAGACATATATATATATAAATACATACATATAGTTAGATATATGTATAAATATCAGGTTATGGGGTTTGCGAGGCAACGTGTAACTGGGGGCAGCACATTGTTGCAACGCGGATGGGGTTGATTCTGGTGTGTACATGTGTAGAACAGTGTGGGATTCACAAACGTGGTGTTTTGACCCCAGCATGTACCCAAAGCGACTGACTTAGGGCTATCCTGGTGCTGGAATCTTGGTGCAAAAAGTGGGCCCGCGGGGTGACTTCTTGCAAACGCGGCTTTAGAGGCGGACCTTGGGGGAATCGAAGGGGGGGGTTCAATATAGTTGTGATAAT